GGAAAAGAAGGGAACAACTTCCGCCCCGACGGCGAAAAGGATGCGATTCGCCTGTCCCTCGTGTGGCAGACGTATTATTTCTCGCGCCTACTCGTACCGCTACGCGAGACCGAGTCGACCGACCAGTATCTGAGCAGCGTGTCACTTGTCACTTAACGTTTTCGCACGCCTCATGCACGCCGAGTTAGATATGTCGGACGAGCGGCCGCACGTTAAGACCACATACCTGCCACGCCGGTCGGTAGGTGTGTAGAAGTAGTTTCCTCCGGCGGCGGTACGTGTTGCCGCACCGGTCACGAGGGACGACCTGAGCATTTACTTCCGCATACGTTCTCGAAACCACCCGCGGCCCGCTCGCCCAACCCTCCGCACCGTTCGTAACGCTCGTCCTGATACGGACATGGTTTTCGTGGTGAAAAATACGCCCCGGATCTCCGAGGGGTTACGGTGCCAAAAATAAATAAGTCGTACGCATTCGTTTGCACATTTTCAATAATTCTACCATGCACTCGTAGCACTCCAATCGTTTTCATTTATTTGTACAATATATCATATTGTTACACTTAAAACGTCATCAAACCATTATGTTTCTTTTCAGCGACATTTTCCGATGTGGTAATAAACAACGGTTTTTTTTTCTTTTTTTTAATAATAATAAAAAGTACCGTTTGACGGAACAACACGATCGATTCTGACGGTGTGTTTTATATTTTTTTTATATTTCATGATACTGAAGAAAAATGTACGCTTACGCGCGTAAATAGTAATTAGTTGAAGCACAAACTGTCTTATAGCTATTATGTCTATCAACTACGGCATTCACGTAAAACATAAGTTCGGTTTTAACGCGCGTCAATCGCTTGTTTTAGGAGTCGACGAAGCTGTGCGCATCACTTAACAACAGTTGGACTGTTAACATGCGAAATAAAAGCGCTCGCGAATGCACGTAATATGTCAGCGCACGTACACGAGCTTTTGTATATAGTGTTATTATGGTCGTAGGAATATACGGTGAACTGCTCGGCCGGAACGTCGACGACATTTAAGTGCACCTCGGTGGATTTTCTTATATTCAATACGGTGCATACTCGCCCATTTCAATAGGAAACCGCGATGCAATCCCAACGCTTTGCAATACATCTAATTAGGGTTTAACGGGTATTGCTGTAATTAACGCAAAGACTGCAGTGGTGGTGGTGTCGACTGCGTTGGCACAAACACGCGTGCATACATTGCGTTTTACACGAATGCGTCGTACGTGATATCGTTATTCGGACTTAGACAGACTTGAACACCACTGACGCTAAACCACGCCAAAGTATGAAGGATTCCCAAAATCATCCGAAGTCAAATCTGAAAATTTCCTACTTTTCCTAATACATTTTAGCGTTTCTATTGTGAAAACATTGTGGCTTATCATTTGATTGTCAGCAAATATTAGTTTTTTTTTTTTTTACCTCGGCAATAATGCTATTAATATCCGCTTAACTTTTTCCATTGTATTGCAGACATTTTTTTACTTTAAAGTATACAGAATGTGTCCACGAGAACTCACGCCATTTGCAATATATTCTATAATAATAAAAATATGTAAATTTAATTTTTTTCTATTTATAACACATACAATCAGGGACTATTTAATTAATTTAAATGTTAATAAAAGTAAAATCTAAAGAAAAAAAAAAAATACTGTAAAAGTATAAGATAATATTACTGAATTTATTTTCTAAAATGATTGATCATTCATCTTTTTAATTTAATTTATTAAGTAGATAAAATGGATTAATCGTGTTGTTACTTACTACTTTTGAGTAATCAACTTAAATGACATAATGAATTACATCACAATACATCTAGTATTTTCATTACTGCGTCAACCTTTATTATACTTTTATTCTCAGTATATTTCTTTCACTCTTTCGTACCTTATTTTTACAAAATGGGATTTCATCATTGGCGAGTATGCTGAGGGTGTGGTGGGGCCGAGTTTCCCGACGACCCCCATAATGTTGTAAATGGAGCCCTATAATTTTAATCTAAGATTAAGAGGTCCGTATTTTAAATAGTGTTGCTCAAATTAAATGCAATCCATTTTAAAATATTTGGTAAAAAATAAATAATAATTCGTAATAGAAAAAACTAAATTTTCTAAATTGTCGTGAAAAAATGTATTATGATAATATAACAGCTACAATTTACTACAAAAGTTCACATCATAAATAATTGAAGTTATCTGAAAAAAATATATGAGATTCAAGGAAAACATATTAATTAGAAGTAATATACTATAATATTAAATAAAAAATAGAATTTATGTTTATTTAAATATTTATTCATTATAATTAATAAAATATACCTACACGTTTTGTTAAGATAAGGCCCATAGATATTATAGATATCCCCTGAAATACAGGTTCGCACATCCCTATAGATTGTTTGGTCAACTTATTAAAGTTGCATTAAAAACATCATATTATACAAACTGCATACTTATCAGTTTGGCCTTGTATGATATTTCTCAAATCTAAGTAGTCAAAGAAGTTTTGTAATTGGGGTTTTTTCATTCCATTCTCTAAAAATATTATACCATAGGTATCATATATTATTGAATTATAAAATGCCATGTTTCGCAATTGGTTATAGATTACAATGCAATAAAATAGTTATTATGTATTTTAAATACATTAACTCATATTAATATGCGATAATTAATTATATTATAAGAATAATTCGCACTAAAACCGTTCGACAAGCATTATTTTTTACTTATTAAGTATATTTCTTCTTAACCCCAAGACGTGTAATAAAAAAACTCAGTAATGGTTATTTTTTGTTTCCATCCACTGAGATGATTCTATTCATTCCTATCATTATTGTAATTCATGTACACCCCCTTTAACTCGATAAAATATTGATGATTTCGTGTAACCAACAAATAGTGCTGAGTTATGATTTTCTTTAATGTATATTTTTTTCACATCTGTGAATATATAGGATTTTGAAAAACACTCACAATAATGTGTAAAATATTTATATGAATTATAGTGTGTGTGTGTGTGTGTGTGTGTGTGTGTGTGTGTGTACCAAAATAGCAAATTAATTCTCCAGATTTATATATGTTATAAATGTCAACCGTACTTCATCCTATGCACTGAATTTTTCGTAAGCTTGGTGTTTGTTTTGACCTTTGTTTTTATTGATTTTCCAAAATTTATGACTGAAAATATGTATTTTTTTCACGTATTTTTCATACAATTATTAAAATGTGTTCTCATTTAATACCTATATATGGAATTATATTACTTTCGCCTGATACATCCATATCTACTGCTACGTCTACACGCATTTAGTGTACTATAAACCCAAAAAGAATTAATATTTTGATTTTAGTTATTTTAATAATCGTTTTTAAAGAAATAAACAACATAATTTCAACCTTTTTTTGTTAAAAAAAGATATTTGTTATAATCGTATTATTTTATTTGACAGTTTATTCTTCCTGTTTATTTTAAACTAACTTTTATAATATAAATGTATTCTGATAATATTGTAAATCCCAATTGTATTCAAATGGTATGAATGTATTAGAATAATTTGAATAATTCGAACTACTCCGAGTAATAATATATATAAATAACAGTAATATTGTTTATTACGAAATAATTTCCAATTACATTTAAGTATACAAGACAGTTAGAAATATGTGTGTGTGTATCTGCAATTTTAAAGAAAAGAGAAAAAAATATTTTAAAAAGCAATATGTCGCAATGCACAGTAAGTACACAGGTGTAAGTAATATTGTTATTTTATTACACTACGACTCTACTTGATGTTTGCCTAAATATAAGTAGCTTATGATGCATAATTTTACATTTTTTCTTGTTTATAATTGAAAATATAAATCCAAATTTAAAACATTAGCACAACATAGGCCTCTTATTTTAATGTTCATGTGAAACGAAGAATTTCTAAATACTTTAGGTAATTATACAAAGTTATAACTCTACCGTTTTGATTATAACTGTAAATATTTTTAATGCGTTTTTAGCGTTTTGTAGACTTACTTAAAATTGCCTTTCAGAAATATATTCATAGTTTATTTATATATTATACGTTTATGTTTCAAAATTTGGGATTTATTTATTTTTTCTATATAAAGGTTGTTTATAATTTAATATCAGTAATTAAATATAATTCAGTTGGTCGGTAAGTAGTATAATTGGGGTTATCAATGTGAGTAATATGCATGTTCTGTTGTAATTGAGTTTAAAACTTCTTATTATTTTGCAATAAAATATTAAGTACGATATAATAAAAATTATTTAAATTTACTTGCCATTATATAAATAAAACTATAATTTACTGAATTTAAATTTGAATTGCTGAGGATAATTTAATAAAAACTTTGTTATTTATTGAATTTTTAATAATATTAAGTTAACTATCGGCATTTCAATTATTTTAAAAATAATATATCTATAGTATTATTTTTTTAATGTTAAAATTAAAAAATAGAAATAATATAAAAATTAATAAAATACATAGATTTGGAGAAAAATTATACTTTATATCGGTTTGTTCTTCACTGGGTGTTACTTTTTCAGTATTTAATCTATTGAGGTTTATACCCACAGTTTATTTCGTATTTTAGACATTAATCTATAATGAATTATTCTAAAGTATTAATAGTTCTAAATTAAGTTTATTTGATATATAATGTTAAGCCAGGTTAAAATAAATTACTAATCACTGATAAATAATAATAAAAAAAATAAATGTAAACATCTAACACGTCCAACCAATTTAATCATAGTATTAGACATATCTTATTATCGGTTAAAATTATGAAATTTAGTCTTTTTTTGAATATATTTTTTTTATATTTTTTCATAATTTATTTATAATTACATAAAATTAAATATTAATAATTAATAATTATTACATTAATAATATGTTAACATATCAATAATTTTAATTATTTTATTCATTGGTAATAACAGATTACCAAATACCATTCACGACACAACAGGCTCCAGTACTTAATGGTCAGGAATCAACATCTGATGACCTATTATATCATCAAATTATGCAAGATGCTATGTGCTATGCACCAACTTTAACAAGAGATTTGGAATTACCAATATTAGATGAAACATTCGAGCTACCTGAACATCATCACAGTAGCCCACCGCCCGCTGGTATACATCGTAGATCATACATATTGGCCACAAGACAAGACAGCAGTAAAGGTAAAAATCGTTATATTTTTTTTTATTACTCATCAGTTACGTCAAATTTATTAAATATATTATAAAACTAATTACAAAAGTAACATATTAATCTCATCTTTGCATTTTATTTGGAGAATAAAAAAGAAAGTTTGTCTTCTAACGAAAATAAAAATTGTAAAATAAAACCTTTGACTGAATATTTTTTTTTATTTAATTATGAACTGAATTACTTTATTCTGTATTATTAATTGACTAAGAAATATATAGCTGAATTTCTAATTGTACATGGATTTTGAATTTTTATTAATTCAAAAAGCAGAATGAAGAAGATAAAAAAAAATTGGCTTATTTAAGAAAATAGTTCTAAAAATATTTACGAACTAAATCATACTTCTGTCGATAAGATTAAAAATTATTAACTTATAAAATTATTATTTTGTACATTTTTCTTGGCCTTTATTTATATTGGATCGATATTTTTTAAGACTACTCCCAACCTCATCAAACCGTTAATTTGCCAGCGAATATTATTATATTGCATTAATTATTATTATATATTTAAGTTACCATTACAGAATATAGATCTAGTATTTTTTAAAAACTGTAAGAACTGCTTATTTTGTTTTGAAATATTTATAACACATAATAATACTGAAACCATCATAACAGTAAGTGAAACGTATATTTCTGATAAACAACATAGCCAAAACAATAAGCTCTTCACTATAGGATGGCCTACTGTGATATCCCGATATCTTCATAGATATTAATTTTTTTAATTTTTTACAGTTCAATGGAAGAAGTTTGCATTTAACGCCTCCCATAATCTTATTTTTGTTTTAATTATGAAACTAATAGTTTCTATCTTTGATTACAGTACATTGCAATGTTCATATCAAGTTACTTGTTTATACAAGTTATGGTACATGTTCATACCAACTTGTACCATAACTTGTGTATATTTTAATTTTCTTAAAAAAAGTTAATTAAAAGTTATATTTTCTAGTCAATTAATAAATTAAAATACAATTTCGGCTATACATTTTTAATATGGTCCTTTTCTAAAATAAAAAAAATATATATAAAATACAAATAATATATATATATAATATAAAAAATAACAAAAAAATAAAATAACAAATATAACAATATATATATTGTTATATTTGCATCGGGATATCACAGTGCACCACTCTTTATAATGTACGGTTGGCGACTTTAGTCCGGAAAGATTGCGTCTGTAGACTATGTACTTTTTTTGTCGTTAGATCGATATATTGAATAATCTGTCACAGAAATATGACGACACTTATCCAAATTATCTATAAACCGGCCAAATGAAGAAATAAGGTTTTCAAGGTTGTAGCATATTTCCAACAGCTAAAACTAATTTCAGCTACCAGTGGCCATAGGGATATTTTTATAAATATAAATAAAACAGTATCGAGGAGTAGAATATTAGAATCATGAGCCCGGTGCATATCTAACGGAAAAGGAACACGTGTGGTAAAATCAAGCGTATAGTTGTAATATGTACGAATACAACATACGTCTTTTTGAATATATATATATTCGAAAAAGGTCATTGGCGATTATAGAGGGAATGGATATGGTAATTTTATCATTTTGTAAATGATAAAACGTTCCACGACGATTATAAGCTTTGAATAGAATTATTGGTATAAGGTTTTAGTAATGTTATTTTAACGTCACGTGACACTCTAATTATCTTTTAAAATTCCCGCGAACGAAGCTTCAATGTACATATGACACTTTACAATTGTAATAAAAATAAAATCGATTCATTCCAATTTATGACATTAATAATATTATTATTAATTACTAAATACTGTAGCAACAGTATAATTTAACTGCTTAGTGTTTGCAACAGTAAAATAAAATAATTTAACAAATTTAATTGAAAAAATCCAAGATTCAAACATTGTGGACTTTTACTAAGGTTTTGTTATTTTATTTTAATTATAATGTTTCTATAGAGTTGATCTTTGACTTAAAATTAATATTTTAAAAACATAAATTTGATATTAATTAATTAATAGTTAAGATAAAATGTTGGTGCTTATATTGTGTGGATTAGTCTTAGAAGTCTAATACTGGCATTGGTAGACGAAGTTCTAGCCTACGTTTCGTTGGTTTATTTGTCAATTTTAAAATATAAATAATTGATTGGCATAAAAATCAAAATTTCTATTTTATCTTAACGCTTACCGATATATAATTATAATACTTATCACGTTTAAAATCATTAAAATATATGCATAATTATGCACATAAAATATCAAAGCAAATACATTTTTATTCTGTGATCTTATTATTTTTACTGTAATGAAATTATAATTTGAAAAACACTTATTTAATATTTTTTTTTGGAAAGACAGCAGACCTTTTGCTACCCTGTTCCATTTATATGCCAATGGTTATTCATTAAAAAAATAAAAATATTATTTACATTATGGTTTGATTATAATTTTCTAGATGAAATAGACGAACAAAATAAAAATGTTTTAAAAAAACAACAACAAAGTGACACTATAACAATAGATGAAAAGTCTAAAAAAAAACCTTGGATAACACTTGTATCTTATGTGGATGAATTGACTGTGGGTGGAAGGAGAGATTCAAAAGGAAATTTTGTAGATGCAGCTCCCAGTTTTCCAGGGTTCGGAAGAAATAAACAATCAAAAGCACCACAAGAATGTTTTCCTTACAGTTGCTATCAAAGGTAATAGCAATCATTTTTTTTATTTTTAGATGTAGTTATTTGAATAAATATTTATGACCGCCTTGTCATTAACTAAATTCTTTTATAATCACATAAACTACAAGTCTATTTTAGATTTAACGCCAAGCAGTAACTTTTTAAGTATTACATGCACGTATTTTTTTTCTTTTTATAAGCATATTTTATAAATAATTTGAAATTTGATATTTAAAAATTTGAATTTTTATTGCAATATTTGTCGTGTTAAAGCACAATATCTCAAAATTTATGACTTTTGAAATCTAAGAGAGTATAGTCATATCCTAACTACCTAATTTTCTTTGTCGTTTTTCGAGTGCTTTTATTTATCGAAGTACGAGTATGTCCCATCACTGATTTCATACGTTAGTCACGTTATTTTTCTAGTAGCACAAAATATATATTTAATACAAAGACTTCATTTATTCCTATTCTAGCAATAAATAGTCGTTGAAATATGAGACGGACGGAGGAACCACTAGAATGATTTAATTAATTTTTATTATTTTGTCTTCACACCATCATTATGCAATCAAAATCATGTTATGAGTATACTGTAATCTGTCAGTGCCCCTTTCAGATTAAAATGCGAATACTAAATTACATAAAGTTATTGACCTCACGATATTACTTATTAATTTTTCCTGACATTATTTTAATTCTATAATTTTTCCGGTTGTATATAAGCTTACTAGGTATCTGAATTTTTTGGTTTAATCTTGTAACTTCATTGGTAAATACCTCGATTGATTTTATTTCATTTGATCTAATAAATTGTATCATAATATCTTAACATTTATTTATAAATACTACTATCAACAAATGCTCATAAATTTATCATTATTTTTATGAAATTTTATAGAAAATACTGATTATCCAGTGGTAAAACTATTTATAATATTTGCTATAATTCGTTCTATTATTTTTTAAATTTTTAACGAAAAAATTGAATTTTTTTTCGTTGAATTATATCCAATGAATCATTTTTCCTTGGATAATTTGAATTAAATAAACTAATTCGTGCTTTTTTATATTTTTTCTTCGTGTTTGTACATTTTAATTTATATATATATATATATATATATATAATGATAAATAATGATAAGTATACATTTAATAACTGTTCATTTCTTTGACTTTTAGAGTCGGAATAAAAAAAGAATGGTTGGATTATTGTTTTGGCGACCGATGGCTAAGATTTCGTCAAAAAACCCTAATCGTTGTAGATACTCCGATATTTGAATGGTTTATACTTGTATTAATTTTTGCATCAAGTGTAACTTTATGCTTCGAAGATATTTACCTGGACGAAAATAAAACGCTCAAAACTGCATTATATTGGACTAATTTTACGTTTTGTGTCATTTTCACGATCGAGCTTATGCTAAAATGGATAGCATTAGGAGTTTACAAATACTTTAAAAGTTTTTGGACAGCTTTAGACTTTATTATTGCAATGGTAATATGAATTATAGTTATAAGCTAACATTAAGCTATAACTTAATAAAATTGTCATGGATTTTTGTCCAACAGATGTCAATTTTTAGTTTATTAATTGATGAAAACGAAAATTTAAAAGTATTACGGTCGTTGAGAACTCTTCGAGCATTGCGACCACTCAGGGCTATATCTAGATGGCAAGGCATGCGGGTAAGTACTTTAAAAACTAAAATTCTTCAACATCACATGCAATTTAATATAATTATTATATATTCTCTTTTCGCATGTTACAAGATTGTAGTAAATGCTCTGATGTATGCAATCCCATCAATTTTCAATGTTCTACTAGTGTGTCTTGTGTTTTGGTTAATATTCTCAATCATGGGGGTGCAGTTTTTCGGTGGAAAATTTTTTAAATGTGTGGATGACAACGGAGAACGATTATCAGTAAATGTATGATTTTTAAATATTTTCCTTATCTATTTATATATAATAAGTTTTATCATTTTTGTAGATTATCAACAATCGCAGTGACTGTATGCTCCACAACTACACTTGGTTAAATTCAAAAATATCATTTGATAATGTCGGTATAGCTTATTTAGCTTTATTTCAAGTTGTAAGTATATTGCATATGAAACTAATAATAATAATTTAAATTTTTATTATATTTTATCACCATAATATCATTACTATTATAAACCTTGCGTTATTAGGCAACATTCGAAGGTTGGATGGAAGTAATGGCAGACGCTGTAGACGCTCGTGGCGTAGACTTACAACCTGAATACGAGGCAAATTTATATGCTTACATATATTTTGTGATATTTATTGTATGTGGGGCATTTTTCACTCTAAATCTATTCATTGGTGTAATAATTGATAATTTTAACATGTTAAAAAAAAAGGTATAACCATTTATTTATAATTTTTCCTTTGTAAATTCACAATATTTACATTGATTTTCTATCTGTCGCAGTACGAAGGTGGCGTATTAGAAATGTTCCTCACCGAAAGTCAAAAACACTACTATACAGCCATGAAAAAATTAGGCCGGAAGAAACCTCAAAAAGTAATTAAGCGCCCAGTGAATCAGTTTATGGCTATATTTTATGACTTATCGAATTCAAGAAGGTTGATTATTTACTAAAAATTTATAAATTATTGTTCTTCTATTTTTATTTTATGTTTTCTGAGTCAATGCGTACATTTTGTTTTAGGTTTGAGATAGCAATTTTTGTACTGATTTTTTTAAATATGTTAACTATGGGTATCGAACATTATAACCAGCCAGATTCAGTTTTTTTCATATTAGAAGTTTGCAACGCATTTTTTACAACGGTTTTCGGATTAGGTAAAAATAAAATATATAAATATTAATAAAATAATATTAATATTTTTCTAATATACTTAATTTGTTTTTAAATAAAATTCTTCAAAATATGATCCTTCTTCTTTTACAGAAGCCTTAGTGAAAATTATTGGTCTTCGGTTTCATTATTTTACTGTTCCTTGGAATGTTTTTGATTTTTTGCTCGTCTTAGCATCTGTTCTTGGTATACTTATGGAAGACATTATGATTGATTTTCCAGTATCACCAACACTTTTAAGAGTGGTTCGCGTATTCAGAATTGGTAGAATATTACGATTAATCAAGGTGAGAAAATAATTATTAAATAAAAATCAATATTGACGATGACTTTGAAATAATATGCATATTATTAATGAATGTTGTATAATCGGTTAAAACAATATTCTATGTTACTTAGGCCGCCAAAGGTATACGAAAATTGTTATTTGCTTTAATTGTATCTTTACCAGCACTATTTAATATCGGTGCATTACTCGGTCTGATTACTTTCATATATGCTATAATTGGTATGTCGGTTTTTGGTCATGTTAAAAAACAAAAAGCCATTAACGATATGGTAAACTTTGAAACGTTTGGTAGGAGCATGCAACTGTTATTCCGGTTAGTATAGAAGTTTTAACAGTTTTAAATGTCAAGACTGTACACTACAGTACAAAATCGTTGATTATAGATTGATGACATCGGCAGGGTGGAATGATGTACTTGAATCATTAATGGTACAACCACCAGATTGTGAACCTGAAGCTCGAGGACTTCCGAACGGCAATTGCGGACATCCTATTCTCGCGATCACTTATTTTACTAGTTTTATTATAATAAGTTATATGATCGTAATAAATATGTACATAGCTATTATACTGGAAAACTTTAACCAAGCTCATCAAGAAGAAGAAATAGGCATTGTTGAAGACGACCTCGAAATGTTTTACATACGATGGTCTAAGTAAGGGAGGAGGAAATCTCTAGTATTCTTTAAGTACAAATGTTTATACTTTTATTACAGATACGATCCACATGCTACACAGTTTATAGCATTTAATCAAATTTCAGACTTCATTGCAAGCTTGGATCCGCCATTAGGTATATCTAAGCCAAACATCGTGGCTTTAGTCAGCTTCAATTTACCAATAGCAAGAGGCAATAAGATACATTGTTTAGACATACTACATGCACTGGTCAAACATGTACTTGGTCACGTTGATGAAACGGATGAATTCAAAAAAGTAATTAAAAAAAAATTTATCTCTGTTAAGTATTTTATATTAATTTTATTTCTTTGGAATAGGTAGAAAATAATATATTTTTTTTTGTTTTATGATGAATTTAATATTTATGTTTAGCTCCGAGATCAAATGGATGTAAAGTTTAAAAAGCAATTCCCTACACGTAAGGAACTGGAAATTGTGTCATCCACGCGTTTGTGGAAACGTCAAGATAAAGCCGCAAGACTAATACAAAGAACTTACCGAAACTTTCGAAGGTATTGTATTTGCTTTTCATAACTCAGATAAATAATAATCCATCATCATTATCTACTCGAAAACACTTTTCAAATCATAGTTATAATATCAACTTAACATTCATCTTTCCTTGTTTTTCTTTACTCCTTATATCTTTGTCCCTTCCATCATAACGTTACATTTTGAAATGCTATCACGTAGGAATAACTTAATTTTTCATTATTTTTAACTCGTAGACATTCGATCAATATAAATACATGTATGTATATATAATTTTAGTAACTGCATGCAGTAGTCAAGTTATAATTATTCATTATATAATGTTAAAATATAATTAGACTTATAAGTAATAAATATATTATATATATATATACTTATTTTACTCTATCCATGCCATTCATAGATTTTTATATATATATATATTTTTTTTTAACTGTATATTTATAATGTCCTCAGTCTCTTACTGCCCGAAAAGTACTATAATTTAATTGCACAATTCCCAAAATAATTTGTTTAAAAACCAACAATTGTTTAGGCGGAAAAAAGACATAACGGATTTGTATTCGGATACTCAGTCGTCAAGCCCTGGAGGTTGGCAGTCACGTCTTTCGTCATTTTTACATGTTAAAGGCATGTCAATTAGTGGTATTGGAGGTGGTGTCGGTAGTAGTTCTAGAGCTTCTTCCAGGAAATCTTCCAGAGCGTCCGACGCATCTGACATATCTGAACTCGGAGCATCCCTCTGGCTTAACCTTCCATTATTTTTATTATCTGGAGCACAATTAGATACGGCAAATAAAAATGATGAACAATCGCCCAAGAAAAAATCACTGTAAGTCATTATTGATTTAATAATAATAAATAAGTTAGTATACGATATTTTTCAATATAATACTGCTTGATACAAACACAAAAACGTATCATACTACTATAGGTATAAATTATTTTAATACAAATTATTTAAATAGAGTTACACCTTACACACAAAATCCACACGCACACATATAAATATGTAAATATTACTATATTTTTATATTTATACGCACAGTTAAAACTTATTTTAATCGATTTGTTTTTAAATGTAATTAATATCTCGTATTAGTTTAAGATTTCAGTACAAACGTATTTTCGGATTACTATTTACTTTTCCCGCGCAAAATATTCACAAAGTAATATAATTTTAAATAATATTAATATTAAAGAAATCAATAATATTAATAAATATCTCCCAACGCCATAGCAAAAGCATATTTTTCTGTTTAATATACAGTGGATCCGATTGGATTAATTCTAAATTTATTTTCCAGCTTATAATTTTAATAGGTCAATAATTAAAATATCTTTCTTTTATTCGAGTAAATTTAATCGATGTACAACTTAAATAGAAATTTCAAACGCAAATACAAACTTCATATAGCACACTTAAATTGCACAGTTACAATACTAGAATTAATATTTCACAATATTATTTATTTTAATAACTCATACATAATATATAACAAAACCCTTGATATTAATTTGTTGTTTTGTACATTTATCATATTTTAATAGAGGTATAATAAATAATAATAAACGGGTGAACTATATAAATCCATATTGTGAGGGATTATATAGTTATATGATTTAAACTCTAGGTACCTATTTAAACTTTGAATGTTAATTATTATTATCGTATCGCAACAAAGATTTTCAAATCTCACTTAACCTTAGTATCCAGTAAACGGTAAATTTCATATAAACGAAAATAAAGAACAAACTTTTAAAATCATCTCATAAAAAAATTAGAAAAAATTATCTCAAATTGATTTTAAAATATAATCAGTTTACTTATTTTTAGTTATGGTGAGTCTTGCAGATATTTTCTAATCAAAATTATTTAAATATACACTTACATTATTCAGCTAGGTACTAATATGATAAAATTGTTTTCATACCAACTTTTTAGCAATAATAATTTATTCTTAATAACTAACACAATACAGTACTCACGAAGCTTATAAGTTTTCACTACACATTTTAACATGAAAACCTCTGCGAAAATAAACTCCATGATATAAAAAAATACAACTCTTGCAATTATTAATTAAAATCTCAAACTTCAATACACTATACATAGAATACGTTTCATTAAGCACAGAAAAAGCATACGTTATTTTTTCTTTTGTTATTTTGCAACACATTAAAATGTGAATACTTTAATGAAAACAGAAAGTATAATTCGTAGCAATACGTATTATGAAAACTATGAAAACCTTTTATTGTTTACAATTATTTTAAAAATATATACAGTCCAAAAACAAAAAAAAATTTACATATTAATTTTAAATGTGATCTTTAAAATTTAAAATAATAAATTTGATTTTCTCAATGTCAACATCATTCAAGTCTTTTAAGCAAAATATTTACTTCAACACGTAGATACATTTTAGCATATAAGCATAACTTTCAAACATATGTATATTAATCTGAAATATTGTGTATGTCTTTAAATAATAATTTTAAATTTCAAATCTCTAAATATACCTAGGATAGGACTTTTGTGAGCAAATCGACTACAATTTGTCTTTATTTTTTATAGCAATACTATGAGACAATAAATCTGCATCAAAAGTCTCATACAACAACTCATGAGATCATAAAATAAAATATGTTAGTGCATGTAGATTATGTTTCTATACTCTTTGATAACTTTAACAAAATTAAAAAAATATATATATAAAATAAGAGTTTAGAAGTGTTTCAATACAATAAATAATTTCGTTACATAACAATCGAATAGAAATCTATAAGCTATTTTACTACCTACTACTGAAATGTGGAAAACAACTTTCTAATAATTTTTTTTTTTTTTTTGAGACTTTGGATTTAAAATGTGGCAATTATTTTCGTGAAAAATAAATATTATTTTTTCCCTGAGTCTTTTAATTATAGTTTTTATGAACAATATTTTAAATTAAATAAATATTATTTCGTTTTTTAATAGAAATATATAAATTATTTTAAACGCGTGATACGTTTGAGTAACAACTAATAGTTGTATAACATAAATATATAATATATATAACACCAATATACAGAATCATTATTTGAATGTAATGTTTTCAAATGTATGCAGTTAATATAAATAATATTAAATAATATAAATCAATGTAATAAAAAACTAAGATATACATTCTGTCCCAATAATTTACTAGTTTTATTGATTTTATTACATCGAAAGAGTAAAATTTCCTTCAACTTAATTTACTGTCTTATTTAATTTAACATAATTTTCCTAAAAAAATCATTAACACATTCAGAATGATTGAAAAAACCAAAATAGCTATACTAACTACAAGTGTGACAAATACAAAAATATGGATATTTTCAAAATATAATTAATCGCATTGATACATTACAAAATATCTAACTATAAAACGCACAAGTAAAAAATTCTCAACTACATTTCTATCGTTGTATTAAAATAAATGGCAAACTAAATTTTGGTGGAACACTATCGGTTCAATGCAATTACAAATGTATCGATAAATAAAGTACATTGTTAAAAAATGAACAACCACAGTGAATCGAAAATTATATAAAAAATATAATATCTTGATTAAAATCTACAACGAATAAATAATTGATGAAGAAGGTGGGTTGAAAGTAAACACCAAAAATTCGAATTCCACGCTCGTACTCCTAGCTCAATAGATGTGCACAACCAATGATTGCTTTAAACGGAGTCCCGTGGGTCCCTACTTCCTAGACCCAGAGATGACCACGAAATAATTTAATAACTGAGCCATGACAAAAGTATAAAAATTTTTATTTTTTTCAAATTAATAAATTAAAAAGGGACAATTTTTAATATGTTCAATTGTAATTTTCGATTTTGTTTTATATTATATGCGCTATGTACAGAAATCTTCGCGAGGATTCGATGACTACAACATCTCATGTGTTAATAAAAATCATCAAATTTTAGTTCTGTTTAATAACTCTTGTGACTATTAACTAGATTTGTTAATTGTTTTTTGTAACTATTAATGATTCTTCGGATCTTACGAAATGTACGAAATAAAAACATTTTTCTTTTCATAAAACACTTATATTTATTTAAAAGAATCGTACATTCAGTTTTTAGCCATATACATAAAAAAAATCAAATTTGTCCGTTTTAGCACAAGAGTAAATAAATACATCCTCGCGGGATATTCTTTACATCGTTTTTAGTATACTATTGTTTTGATTGGAAATGAGACACATTAGTTTTCGTTGAATGAAAACGATACGGATTACGTTTTAGAAGAGCGATTTTCTTTCGCGATTACATTTGCTACAGTTGTGTTAGGCGTTTACACATCATAACAATAATATAGTTATCATAGTCCTAGAGCTTCTCGCGTAGCTTTAGAAACGTAGCCGAGTAAGCATGGTATTGGTATTCTACCAAGCATGATGATAGTTTTTTGGCCGACAGAACGGCCGAGATAATGTAATACAATACGCGTTAGTACTTGTGCGGCAGAACAAACGTTATAATACGATTCTTTCAGGTCGGTATACGCGCGCACACGGTATAAGACGCGGCGTTGCGTTCGACGGGTGCGACGCCAATCGAATTCGGTTCGTACACCCAGGGGCGGAACTAGTGGGTGGAATACGGGGATTCCGGACGTAAGATTTTGGAGGGTGTAATTTTTGTAATTATTAACAACTAATCTGATATTTTTAATTTTGTTAAATACCGATGTTGGGTTAAAACTCAATAAGTATGATTAACTGTTAGAAAAAAAATTCTCGGGGAAGATTATTTGATTATTGGCTTACGATGGGGCGTAATTTTAACGTTTTCCCCGGGCGTAAAAATTCCTAGTTCCACCTCTGCGCACACCGACCCGCGTACGATGTGTTGTTGATTCGTACCGATCATTGTCGTATCAACTTATAATTTACCTAACCCGTTGGGCGCCGATCTCCGTGTTTGTGTTTTTATTGTTTTTTTTGATTTTTTGATTTTTTTTTCTTTTTTTCTCGTTCTTTCCCTCTTGTCCGGGCAGTGTCGAGGGAGGCGGCCCGCCCGTGCACATCACGATCAGCGAACCGTCACCGGAGGCGAAACCGTCCAACGCGCTGCTGCCACTGTCGCTGGACGACGTGAGCGGCGGCCCCGCGGTCGCCTCGGACCGGAACCGGAAGCAACAGCAGCACTTGCAGCAACACGCGACCAACGTGAGCATCACCATTACGGACGCGTCGCCGGACAGCGCGTGCGGCCCGAAACCGTTGCCGACCGGCACAGCCTGCACCGCGGCGGCTGCTACGGCGGCGGCGACGGCGCACACTAAACGGTTGGCGTTTCGGCGCGCGAGCGAAGTGAAAATCGTACAGCACAAAGCGCTGGTGCACAGGACGTCGGAAGATCCACCGCGCAGCTGATGGAAATGGTACCGCGTACGAACAAAAAAAAAAAAAAACCTACCGCTGCGCTCCTGTTGTTGATGTTGTTGTTGTTGTTGTTTTCGTCTTTGTTGTTGTTGTTGTTGATATTGTTTTGTATTGCCCATAATCATTATTATTATTATTAATTTATTACTATTATTATTATTATTATAATTATTATTACTACCAAAGGAGTCGACACGCAATGCGCTATATTGTCTCGTGATCGTAGTTTTGCGATCGCGCGTACGAACTACTTACACCGTACGCCACTGCACCGCGACCGCGTGCTCAGTCCCCCTTAAAAACTGTTTTCCAAACACGTTCTCGTTCGGGACTCGAATCGCTTTTTCGAATCGAGGTTGTTTCGAAGACGGTGTGCAATCTCCTGATTTTGGCGAAAAAGGAAAGTGGTGATCGAGGGAGGGAGAGGGCGATTGTCTGCCACCGGCTACCCTCAGATCAAATCCGAAACAATAATCGGACGACGGTCGTACGCGATACGTGCGCGTTCCATGCGAACGAGATGATAGCAATCCCTATGTTAAAACAAATTCACGACGACACGTGATTTAGCGAGCAATAATCGAATCGATTTTTATTTTTTCTTGCTAATGTTTCTAGTTGTAGCCGATCAAATGTCAGTCAATTATACAATTGTGCGTACCCCACGTCATATTATTACAATGTGTTGCACAGCGACAGAGCTTATAACAATGCGGTTCAAAAACTTCGAAAGTTTTCCCCTTCCTCCTCCACCCCCTCTTCAGTGAGCCTGTTGCAGCTCTTTTCTTACAGTTTTCGCAATGTTGGTTCACGAACTCTACAAAGTTACTGTTATTTTTATCATTATACTCATCAAAAACCGCATTGTTCATTATAGACAATAATTAAAAAAAAAAAAAAAATTAAAAAAAATAAAATATGTACTAATAAATCTTTATACAAAATAAAAATTAATTATTATTATTGCGTTCATAGGGTTTTAAATTTTTTAATGAAACGTACTAGTAGCCTTGAATCATACAATATCACTTAACGGACATGTATTACAAACTCATTGTCTCACGTATATTCTTTCCATAAAATAATATTTATTTTAAGCCAATGTTTCTACTATAACTATTAATTTTACCCAATTTGAAGACGGTTATCTTATCATTCAACTGTGTTTATTTTTGCTGTCATTTTTTTTGTTTTTTTTTTCTACTCAATTATTACAATTATCGAAACATTATGTACGTCAATTTTCATACTAACTATGTATAAAAACATATAGGTTCTTGTGTCAATTATCGCAGACATTTTCAAGAATACATTTAGACTATTTAAGATAAATCGTATAATTTTATATCGTATTACTAGTTTTACTAAATTCTTCGATCATTTCTGAAACTCAACGAGTTCACCGAGTGAATCAACCGAATAATTTTCGTTTAATATTTAGATTTTTATTTGAACGTAACATTATAGCGCGTAACGTGTTGGTATAGTTACGATATTTAGATGTTATACTATCCATCAATCGTTCACGTCATTATTTCACTCCACGTTAAATATATTACACTTAGATAACATAAAATAATGTCGATAACGTGAGCGCAATAACAATGATTTGTTACGACATCGCACGTTTTGTAATTTTAATTATTTATATGTTTTACACGGTATTACCGTGATCCGCGTATAGGTATATTATTATTATTTATTGATCATCGTCATATATCGTATGTTATGTCTAGTGGCGTAGGTACAGGTGATTAGGGGGAGAGGTGTTGATGAGGGTTTAAACCTTGCCAGAACCAAACAAATTTGTAATTTTTATTTTTTTGATGATAAATATTGTGGCTTCGCTGAACATTTAGTTGGTGTTGTAAATCAATAGGTACCCGCATTCACTCTCTTTTATCGATGAAATATCTTCTCTGTCGTTAAATTATTAATCATTGTGCTGCACAATACACACACATTAAACTTAGCGGTATCTAAATTTTGCCCCATTCAGCTAATAATAAACTGTCTGGCAAAGATAAGAAACACTCATGACCTTCTTGTTTATCCCAAGAGAAAAATATGCCTAGTTTAACTGACGATTGAATTTTTAATTTTTTAACTCCCACCCTCCCCCTTCCCTCTCACCAGAGAAAATTTATGCTGCTTATTGTAATATTATATTATTGTTATTTTATAAAATCATTTGCCTTTTCTACTAGTATAGCTTTGACTTTATTTTTCTTCTCTTTTTGTCGCGTCTGCCGTTGAAATGCATTTGTATTAAATTATACGGCGCGTTGTAATAATCTGTTAGAAACTCGTACACTTTTGAATACTTTTATGTAATTAAGTTTATAACAATTTCTTACTTTAGTTAAAAGCTCAATGTCTTACATTTTCATTACTCTAAAATAAATTCTAAACGCTGTGTTAATAATTCTACATAGAATAAAATAAAAAAAATATTTTTATAGAAATATAACGTTTAAGTCTTTAGTAATAGGTACACTGCATTTTTAGAAACGCAGTGTAATAATAAATAATATATGTATGGCTCGTTAATTGTATATGATTCAATAATAATACTTGTTGAAAACAATCAGCCATATGTTGACTGAATTCTCGGTTGAAAAATTGATGTTTAATACATAAATGTATTTGATGGTGAAATTGAAATTTTTCGAAATATTAAAAAATGTTGCACTCTTAACCCGTAGGTAGGCGTTTAATATCTAATACAGCGGTTCCCAAACTTTTTTCATTCAAAGCTCCCTAATGATACTTTTTTCACTTCTCCCTCAAAGAATAATAATTCTTCTATAATATCTACTCCAACCATAAACCGAACATAACACATTAAATATGCATCTTTATTACTATCGGTTGCTTCATCAAGCTGAATTGCGAAATTTTTATTTCTTAATTTATCAATAAGCTGATCATTTATATTATCTGAGATATTTTGAATTCGCCGACTATTAGTATTATTAGACAAAGATATATTTTTAAGTTGATTTACTACAAATTTTTCTATCAGAGTAGAAACCATATTGCTGATAGTAAAATAAGTTCTTCGGCAATCGTATGAGAATTTTTGCATTGTGCAATACGAAATGTTACTTTCTATGAAGCCAAAAGAGCTTTAGACGGAACGCTTGTCTGTTTAACAAAACTAGAAGATGGTTCTTCTAATTTTGCAAGTTGTCTTACAAAATAATCACATGATTTATTATTCAATGTAGTTATGATTAGTCTCCAAATGACGTTTTAATTTACCGGGCACCATACTATCAGCAGCTAATACTTTCAAACAAATAATACACTTAGGACGTTCTTCGTTATCTATTATAATGTAAATAAAATCAAAACATAAACGTGTGTCGTGTATGGATAAGATAAGATAATCGTTTTTACAAAAATTTTATCGGACATATAGTTGATCTAAAAATAATAATAAATATAAATTTCCAACTCGCGCCACGACGCCCTTGTTAAGTGCTCGCGCCTCCTTTGGGTGGCGCGCCATACAGTTTGGGAACCGCTAACCTAATAGATAATATTACTGACATACGTATTATTGTATACAATTATTTTAAATGTATACACATAGATTATCTATTACGCATGGTAATTATTCTAACGTGGATCATTCCAAATGTTTAAATAATTTGAAATTCACCGAAAGTCTTAAATATATATATATACCTATTCGTATGTAAAAATCGTGCATAGATACTTTTGATACTGGAAAATAAGAGAAAATAAAAAAAATATGCAAATGTTTTCTTTACCTCCATATCAAAGTTATTTCAAAATCGAAAAGTAAAATAAAAATTATTTAAACGTTCAGGACCAATATAGACTGATTCACTATGTTTATGATAATGTGAGTGCCTACTACATAGAATGTACTGATGTAATAGTCATTAAAATTAAACAATTATACAGACAGACGTGTTATGATATATACAGTGCTTGATTTGGCAAAATTAAAGAAGGAGGACTCTATTTGCTTAAAAAAAATGCGTCCCCAAAACTTTTGAAGCGTTATAATTATAACGTATTAATAGTAGGGGGACGCTAGAATTTCTAAAAATTAGAAGGGGTACTCCGTCTCCCTGCGTCCCCCCTCAAGTCGAGCACTGAATATATATAAAAAAAATGTAGAAATGGTTTTTTCGTTCGCGGTAGATCGTTGATACTATTTTACCAATGAATTATTAAATATAAACATTGCACATTTATAATTGGCAATACTAATATTTGAAGCAAGTCATAATAATTAACTCTAAGTAATCAATACTCTTTTAACACTATTATTATTATTATTATTATTGTTATTATGATTATTATGTTATTTATAATTTTTCTCGACGTATTTAATCAATGTGATAAATTGATGTACCTATGTTATACTTATAAGTTACATTATATTATGTTTGTACTAAAAAAATATTAAAGCCTGTCATCCGTCGTTAAAAAATGTATCGTACTAATATGATTAATTTTAAGAAAATAATGCAAGTTCATTGAATTTCAATATCATTTTATTTCAACGCGAACGGTTAAGAGAATCCTTCTCCAGTTGTCACAGGAATTCATTTAAAAAAAAAAAAAAAAAAAGTGTCGTTTTAAAAACCATCGATATTCCGGTTAATTGGTCGTATTGAACGCCACACATTTGTTGATAGTGCTCCCGTTTACCCCGCTCACGCTACAACAAATTGCTACAAACTAGGTGTATTAAAAATAACTATATCTCGTATCGACCCATTATCATCGGTGGAGTATAACTTTTCCGTGAGAAGTTTTTATTTCGCTGTTCCTAGGGGACCATTGCGAAACGGATTTCTTCCTGACGTACTGGAATCCCTTTAGAAAATGCACCATTGTTGCTTAATATCCGTTTCCATTTGGAGGGAATTGACTACTCGGTTATTCCAAACTCGATTACTCGGGTACGTGGGTTCGGCCGTGTGTTTGGCTTCTCGGTGGTCCCGCGCGAAAATAATTAATCGGATCTACGCCTGCGGAACATTTTACGTCCGTCTCAGGCGCTCGCTTTGAACGTTTGCAGCCGGGCACTACGTGCATTCGATCGGATCATTTGCGGTCGCTAAAAACGTACAGAACTGTTGTTGTCCGCAAACGTCGTGCATTCGTACCGGTCTGTACGCGCGCCGCGCAGTGATCAATTCGCGTTCGCTCTGACGGCGACGACCCGAACGACGCGTCACTACGATCCCTCCGTGTGCAGCAGTAGTACGCTTATTTCCCGATAAAACTGCACGTACGGACGTGCGCGCACACCACAGGCGCGACTAGGGGGGCGCAATAAGGTTTTTTAGGGTCCCCGAGTTCATATGCGGCGCATCTGTTTTTTTTCTTTTTCCCCCAGCTCTACACAACCCATAGATCACTACGTCTATGATTGCAGTTGAATACCCCATTTGCGCCCACGACGCACGGCGGTATTATGTTTTATTTATAAGATCGTGGAAACCCCGTAATCGGTGTTCAACGTGTAATCGTCGGTTATCTCGCGACGTCGCGCCGCCAGACGGGTCGGGTGCGACTGGTGGGACGGGGCGAGCACGGCACCGAAATAATAACAACACGAAATAATCTCGCTTGTCTGGCCGCCCATTCGAAAACCAATGGCACACCATTCGTTACGGATACTAAAGCGTCGCCGCGGATTAACTTTTATTTTTATTCAATCCGCGCTGTCATCAACAATCAATAACCCGTATTTGTAATGTACGTCCGTGCGTTATAGCTGTCGGTCACGACGGCGTTTGCCGCGCGCTATATTAGATCATTATTTCAGTCGGCCCGTGTCGGCGGGGCAAACGTTTCGTCGACGATTTCGAACCGACGAGGTTATCGTGTGCCTCTACCGAGTCACGATTAGTAATCGGCGTGCCGACCGTCAATCGGTGTTGTCGTTCGAACGTTTGTTGTACAGATATATTTCTTTCGCGGTCCCAACACTTGTGTACAACATTATTTATCTTCTTCCCGCCCGCATCGGACGAACTAAAGACGTCCATCATATTGCGTGATCCTTTCCCGTACCCTCTTTCTCACCGACGTGCTTAATTCCCCTTAAGACTATCATCCCTATAGGTTAGTCTAGGTTAGTCTAACCCCTCCTCGATTCACGTTCTACGTCAGTTATTTCACAATAATTAACTTCGTCCGCGGTGCTTTTTAATCTGATCTTCAACTATTCATAACGTAAACCGTAATACTAATCTTAGCAGTGCAATCGATTTGATTTAATATCAGATATTAAAGAAAAAATACAATAGAATACGACTAGAATACGTCTGTGTCGTAATTTTAAGACTCAAATGTTTTTTATTTTTATTACTTACCTATGAATAAAATAAAAAAAAAAATTACGAATTCTATCGAAAATCAGCAATAATAATAATAATAATAGTAGGTAATAGTTTACGATCGTTTAATGCACTACTATAATAACAACAAAAATTTATCGACCAAACAACGGTGGATTTTTAATACAAATGAAATTTCGTTTATTATACAATTTTAAGCTTCATTGCTAAAACATTTGAAATTTACATATCGGTTAACCTTAGGTAAATAATGAATTTCAGAATTGCTGAAATTAATTTTTTTAATACTATTTCAAATACTACGAGTATAGTAAGTTAATAATAAAATATCATTTTTGTTGTATTTATATTATACGGGTAAGTTTTTCCCCTTACTCAATCTAATTGACGTCAACGACTACTATCAGAACAAAATTTTCGCGGCACACCAATCCGTATATTATGTGAACAATATTTTATATATATGTATACTATTTACAGTCTACTCTATTAGAGGGTTATTTATTGTGAAATATATTAATACAATCGATCGACCGAGACGGCTGCGACGGGCATACTTACAATAAATAATATTATATGTATCTACGATTAGTTCGATCAGTTTTCATCTCGAATATCAATAATAAACTGGTAAATACATACTTATAAAACAATTTATAGATTTATTGTAGCACATTTAAAGGGCGCTCGCGGCACACCGGTTGGGAATCACTGTTGTAGATACATCGAGCAGAGAACGAATTTCATTTTCTGCGTACCTACATTTAAAAACTGACATATAAATTTTTTCACTTTTTTTACAACGATAAATAGTTATTTATATTTTGTTTTACTTAATAAACACTAACGCAATAATACATTTTAAATAATACTGTAGTGTATGTAACATAAACGTATGGATAAACATTTATATTTGGTCATTCATTGTCCTCCCTTTGTACCACAATAACGATGATGTTTTTTTTATGTATTTGTATTGAATAATAATAATTATAATAATAATAATAACAATAATAGTAGATATACTACTCAAGTTGATATTTTTGTAGACGTTAATATTTTATACAAAACAATACAAAATAAAATAATATTACATGGTTGTCATCTCATACTTACTTTTATTGGGGTTGTATACTTGTACATATTATTACTGTATGTATTTTTTATTTATTTTCCAAAGGAGCCATGTACTATTTATTGTTCAGTCATGTCTACCTTTGAATAGAAGAGCTTCATAGTAATTATTAGAATTATTAATATTTAGATTTAAATATATATAAATATATTATATGTAGACTATACTAATGACTATTGTATTTATACATACATATATATATAGTGCCTAGACCTTACCACTGTGCCTCAATTTTAGCTATAGGATCTATTTTTTCATTCACCAAACGTGATATTTACCTTTTAAATAGCATAATATTAATAAATATTAAAAACGATGTACCTAATTTTTAATTTATTTATTTTTTTACTTGTTTTCGTCGCGTCATATGTAAGTGTATTTATTATTACGTGTGTTTGTAAAAGAAAAACTTTATAATTCTTCTTATATTAGTCAAAATAAATTATTTATCATTGCACTCTTGATTTATAAGGTATATAATATCATACTACTATAGACATAGGTAGTCGTTCAAAATATACTTATATTAATGGACGTAACTACAAATACAATAATTATTTAATTTATATTTATACATTGTGTACAAGATGTATTAACGATAATAATATTTTATCAACATATTTGTATTATATTACTTTTGGAGTAACTTTATATTAATATATTTGTTTTGAGTATATATAATTATGAAACGCAACATTTAGGTTGACTGTGCTTTTCTATCAAATAACTATTATTATTATTATTTTTTTATTTTTAATATTATTATTATTATAAACATTCTTTCATCATTTTTTTCGTTCTTTTATTTTCAATATATATTTATTCAACTGTTAGACAGTTAAGTTTGATAATACATTTTGAACTTTTGTATGATATTACATTTTTTGTTAAAATAAATTAAAAATAAATAAATGAAAAAACAAATTTTATTAAATAATTATTATATTTCATTATATTATGAAAACCATGTATATTAGACAGTACTAACAATACTAATAATTATTACCATTTATTAAATACACTATTACTTATTGTGTATTTAATCAATGTTATTACGGTATAATAATAAAATTTTATGTATAAGTATTTTTTCTTTTTACAGATATATATTTTATTACACTACAATTATATAAATGAAAGTATTTACTTAGTAGAAGTTCTTGTACGTTTATTCCACGAAAAGTTGATAGCATAAGATTTTACTCTAGGCTTAGTCTTATGCTCTGCTTCTACAAACCATTTCCAACCATTTTTTTCACAAAAGTTAATAGCTTCAGCTTTCTCACCAAATTCAATTTTCATGTTAGACAATGGATCACCACTATAAAAAAATTATCTCATTTTTGTCAAAATACAAAACTAATAGATTAATAATAAATATGCCATACGTTGAAGTCCAACCCATCAATGGATTTTCCCAACGTTGCCTGTTATCAAATTCCATAATCCAATTATGAATGTTGTCGGTGCCTGATTGCATAACATTTTTGGTGATTTTACTAATTTTCACCACACGATCTTTAATGTGTTCTTCGGGTACACCAGTTACGGAACTTAAATCAACCTACATAATAAAATAATTAAAAATGTTGAACTAAGGCATTGTTTTACTCTCTTTTAATTTATTGCAAAGCGATGTCAGACAAATTATAAACATTTTATAGACTATAGTGTTTATAAGAGTTAGAATGTTAAATGTACAATTAAAGAAATAAAAACTATTATTCTTAAGATTTTCATCTAAAGATTTACTCTAAATTGCAAAAATGCAAATTCATTTTTTCAGTTTTATTAACTGATATGAGATATAAGAGGCTGATTAACTGTTAATATTATTTGTGAGAAACTCAGCACTTACAATAATTGTGATTGAATTTTGAATTAAATTCAAAATTTCAATAATTATTTCTTATATTATGACAAAAAATATAGAACTTTTTAAAAATGGAACCTTACCCTAGCAAAAATATTATTTGAAATATCAGTCACCGAATACAAAATAAATTACTCATTAGATAAATTAATTTTTATGAATCAAACAATAACAAAAACAGAATGCTATAAAATAAGTTAATAAATAATAAGTATTTAGATGTTCTCAGTAGAAAATAAGTTCAAGATAATAAAGATAATGAAACCAGTTCTTGGCCTTTCCAAAACCAATAATGATACTGTAAGACTGAGTTGAATACATTTAGTAGTAAAGCAGCCACGGTGAATTAAGTAAGTAATAAGTTAAAAATTACCAATTTTACATAAAAATTGTTTTTAATTAGATTCATGTAGTAATTATACTCTTCAATTTTTTAATCAATATTTAATTAATAGCATTTGTATAAAATATATTTTTTTTTTCTGTAGTAAACTTTTCTTAAAGATTTTTTTAACTAGCTAATTTTCTTAAAATACATATTAGTACATTTAATTATAATGTTAACTAATAATTTCAAAACTCAATAAAAGTAAAAATGATTAATTAATACACAACCGTTCTAAATACATTCAATATAATATAAAATAGTTTTTAGTACAATACACAATAATATACTAATTCCTAATAGTTAATTGTATTATTTAAATAATACAACAACATTTTTATTAGTTCATTCTCAATGATGTGAAAATTAAAAAATAGCTACAATAAGTTGTGTAAAAAAAGTTATATAATTAGTAAACTAATTTGAAGAATCAATATCCATATTGTATGTTTTATTTCTATTGTAATTGTTATTTTATAGGTTAAATAGCTTAGTTTTAAATTCTATAACTTTAATAAAAATTTGTGTTTATACATAACATACTTTACTATCGACCTCTATGTAGTTCTGGACGCTTGTGTCAGACGTTTTTCCAATGACAATATTAGTTTCTAAAGGAAGAGACTCTTTTTTATCATAAATTTTCTCTAAACCTCGGTCACTTTTAGCTAAGTGCAATGTTCCAGTCATCAGTCCTTTTCTCCTGTTTTAAAACCATAGTCGATGAAAAAATATGTCATATGAAAAACAGACGATGAATTAATGCAGATTTCCAATGAGTACTTACGACGATACCATTGCATTTTGAATCGCTTTACTTCCAGTTTGTTTAATTAAATTTAACGCCATTTGAAACCGAAAGAAGTAGGTATGTAACAAAATTATTTAGAAGTCTTTGACTAAATGAATGTTGAAAATCCAACACCTAAGTTTTTGATGTAGTTCATACACGGTACACCTGATAGCTGATAACGTTACTGATATCGCAATAACAACCTCACAGTTGATATGATAAGCTTAACTATCTTACCAACTATTGCAGGTTATAATTGACACGCGCGAATATTTTCAAACACAACGATCTACAACAATAAATCAACATGTCTGGTATGGACTCATATTTTTCCAGTTATGAAGATCTGGAGGTAAATTTTACTTCTTGGACTAGCACTAAATCATCTGAAAACTGTTCTCAGCGTATTCTATGTATTTCAGGTTCATAAATTAATGATACAAGATTCGGCCAGGACTGAGACGTATAAAAATGCAATTTTATCCAATCAAGCTGTATTCGAGGGTAAAACCGTGTTGGACGTGGGAGCTGGCTCTGGAGTATTGTCCATATTCTGTGCACAGGCTGGAGCTTCTAGGGTGTTTGCTGTTGAAGCCAGCAGAACAGCTGATTTAGCTAGGCAACTTGTAGCTGAAAACCATTTTTCTGATATTATTGAAGTGTGTAATACATAAAATGTAAACGGGTTCATTACTCTTATTATTTTTCTAATATTAATTTACAGGTGATCTACAGCAAAGTGGAGGATGTCACACTACCCCATAAAGTGGACATTATTGTCTCCGAGTGGATGGGATTCTACATGTTGCACGAGAGCATGTTAGACAGTGTTTTGATAGCACGAGATAAATTTTTGAAACCTGAAGGATTAATGTTCCCTTCTCATTGCACTTTGTATGCTTCTCCATGCATGTTACCTGACTTTTACTCCGAATGGGATAATGTTTGTGGGATCAAAATGAGATCGTTCGCACAAGCCTTACGCAATTTATATTTAAATAAACCAAAAATCATGAGTATTCAACTAGAGAATATACTTTCTCAAAACGTTAGTCCTATTATTGAATTGGATCTTCAACATTGTCAAATACAACACCTAGATGAAATAATTGCACAGCGTTATTTAACCATAGTTGACAAGAGCGGGATTTATCAAGGAGTATGTTTTTGGTTTGATGTCCAGTTTCCAAATCCTGATAATACTCTTAGCACAGCACCTGGTGCACCACAAACACACTGGAAACAAACTATAATTGTATTGCCTACACAAATAGAGGTAGAAGAAGGTGAAGCTATAATGTTTAATGTACAATTTAAACGCAACAGTCCAAATTCAAGACATTATAGTATTAACTTAGAAATGCTGGATGCCACACAGGAGCCACATCCAAATCCATGCGATTGTAATCAAACTAAATGTAAAATTATTAAAACATTTTTATCAGTTACACAAAATATATCAGATGATGATGATGAACAATCTATAGCATATAGCACAAATAGCATTGATGACAATTAAAATTAAATCAAGATATAATGTTTATTCATGTATAGCAATGGTTTTTGTTAATAAATTTGTTATTAAAATAAAAAATTTTGTTTACTATAAAAGACAATGTGAGTAGACTATCAATTTTTGTTAAAGTAATTTTGTTTAAGTAATTATACTTTATATTATTGATATAATTAAGAAATTTAAAGACTAAATATTAATAAACACACCAACAACTTGAAAATAAATCTTTTTTTAAATGTTGAATAACAATGACATATTTTATCAACATTACCAATATTATTGAAAAGATATTTGTTGAAATACAATTTTGGAAAGATCCAGAATGGCTATATAAAGAATATTTTTTAAATGCTAGGGTAATGAAAAAAAATTCATATAAGTAAAAATTAATTAATTTATAGATAAATAAATATGAGTAAATATTTTATTTCTAATTCAAGTTTTAAATTAAAAATATAAATTATATTAAACAGAATTATTATTTGTATTAAATTTAAAATATAATTATTAACACAAAAGACTATTATTATTAATTTAATTACTATAGCAATAATAATTTACATTAAAATATTTGTTAAGGGTTTAAGATATTTTAAATATTTAGAATTGTAGTTTCAGGTCTCATATTTTTGTAATATGAAATAAAAATTTCCAAAATAATTAGTAATACAATAAACTATTGACTTTTAATAAAATTATATAAAATTAGAAATACATTTTTTTTTTATATTTTATAGTACTTTTAAGTTATTTTAATTATTTACTTAAAATTTTCCAAATATTATTTCTTTATTGTTAAACTGTTTTTTATTTTTCATATCAGTTAAATTTGTAATTTTATTATAATATAATTCCAAATTTTAAATATTAAAATAAGCATTGTTTTAATTTGTATTTCAAAATGTTCTTACTTTTAAATATATTTCAAATTTTTTCAAGCAATCTTAAAGTTGTACTTAACCTTCAATATAAAATTGTTATAATTTTAAAAGTTAATTTTTTTAGTCTACAAATTTAATTTAAATGATTTCATTTACATATTATCTTACTTCTTGTATGGCGTATGTTTCTGTTCTCTAGTTTGCGACTAGATAGGACTAAAATTGTTATAAGTTAATACTTAAGATATTTATCAAAAATAAAAATATTTATTAAATATTATAAATTTTGTAAGAATTTTTTCAACAAAATAGATTTTAATTTTTAAATATGTAATCAATAATATCTTAATGATATAAACAATTTTATTGAATCAAGATAAAATTATTATATTTATAAAGAGAATGAAAACTGTAAGTAGGTAATTAAAGTGAATCTTTTGAGAAAAAATGTAAACATAAATTAATAATTATTAATTTTTTTTTTTCTTTATGTTGAGATGATTCTTTCTTTATCAATAGATTTCACGTATTTGAAGATAAGTAGTCCATAAGTCATCTATCATCCTCATGAAGAGAACATAAGTAGTTGTGGTTTAATCCAAAGACAGCACAGATTTGATGCAATAAGTAAACATATTGAAGTGCCTTTTGATTGTCTGTATGAAATAAAAAAATTAGGATTATTTATACAGGTTAGTATATTAATGAAAAATTAATAACTAAATTAAGATATTAAAATTAAATTAACTATATACAAAACACCTTAAAGTTTTTTTTGATGTATCAAAATGGAAATTGCAAGTTAAATAATGGAAAATTTAGAAAACAGCAAGATTTTAACTTATGGTTCATAAATTAATTGTAATTGACATGAGCTTTATTACTTATCAAAAATCAATTAATTTTATAAGTAAATTAACTCATTATTAGTCCAGATAACAATTAAAAATAGTGTAAGTATATCATAGATTTACTATTCTGATATAATTGAACAAAAAATAAAACAAATATTCTAAGGAACAATATTCGTTAAAATGTAGTAAAAACTTTTAAAATAATTGAATAAAAAGTTGTGGTTAGTTGTATTTGAAGAAATACCAAATCATAGTTTATCAACTAAATTAGTTCAATACTAACTTGTCAAAACAAAATTTGGTATATTTGATATCATAAAAACTGAAATAATAATTATATAGTAGAAAATGTTACGATAAAATATTTATCAGCTAGGTATCCATGATTTTTTACTTTTATTTATATACTTTGTTCCATTTACTCTTATAAATCATTTTTGCTATTACTCTGGTCAGACCAATCTTAAAGTAGTACATTGGAATATGTATGTTTTCCAAAACACCAAAAATAAAAATGTAAAACTCATATTAATATTTTGACAAGCTACTTACTATGGCTTGAACACCTTATATTGCCATTATTTTTTTTTCTATTTTTTGACGAACTTGAAGAATATTGTTTTTCTGTAGTTCTTGACTAGCACCTCAATAGAATTCACTACATAAGACAACAATACAATTAATTTTAATTGAGAACAAAATCTAATTAAATACTTTTATGGTAGCATTAATTGCCATTTTCAATGTGATACTGAATATTTCTGTGTGAATACTGCACAGACAAGAATGTTTAGCGCTGGAAACTCTCAGATGGTTTAAACGAGCAGATGGTGTTTCCTAACAAAAAAAAAAAAAAAAGAACGACAGGAGGTATTAAATCCTATTTTACGGATCAATAATTTTAAAACATTTTACCAACTGAAACGGTTAACTACGTTTGCACGGACAAAATACTGTTGATAAAGTTTACGTACACGTACATTAGACTCGGGACCTCCGTTCTAGGTGCGGAGTGGTACGAAATTATTTCCGGGTGATTTCGTACGATTTTAAAAATAATTTTGTTGACGTCCCCCAAGTTTACATGTGAGTATTGGGAGGGATAACGACTAAACGTACCGCGCGCAGTACACAGAAAACATGATGAAGGTAGATATATAATATATTTTTATAAAATCTGTGGTAGAACTGCAGCAAATTTTTACCTGCGTTACGCTGTCACACCGGTAGACAGATCGATCCATAGATAAGTGTACACATAAGTATACATGAATCGACCCGAAATTAATACGAAATTAGACACGGGTATTTGAATATGTATTGTTATATAACGGTGGAACGACAATGGTGGACAGTGTCGCCGCAGGTAGGACGGTAAAAATATCCTAGACACATAGGACGCAGCCGCTGTCATCGAGTTCTTCATAATCGAGGGGGTACTTCAGTGGCGTAATTAGGCGGTCGCAAGAGATCGCACTTGCGACTCCAAATATAATGTAGGAGTTGCAAAAGTATTATTTTGCAACCCCTGAAAATTCCATATTTATGATTTATTGCTAGATAGTAAAAAAATTTAAATAAGTAATTAATTATTTAGTTAAATAATTATGAAATAAAAAAAATTTGGAGAATGATAAAATTGAGACAATAACAATACGCGACATAGAAGTTTTAATTTAAAAATAAATTATATAATATCAGATATATCGGTTGTAATTATATTATAATTATAAAATATTATGGGATTTAAAATTTAAATAAATATGATGCTTGTGGTTATGTATTAATTATAAAAAAGTTAAAATTTATAGTTCTTAATAAAATGTATTTATATTTAAGAAGAATTATACAGATTTATAATAACCACACGGGTTTGTGCATCTTTAGTAACCCCTGATATTTTTTCCGAATTACACCACAGGGTACCTACCATATATTCAAGGCTGAATTAAGGGGCTCTAGCCGGGATGGTAGCCCCGGGGCCCTCTCGAGTACCCAAGTGAAAGAGGCCCAAACAATTTTAAGCTGATACACATTTTTTATCATACTAAAATTAGTAGTTTTATAGACATAAATTGTATATACCTATTAATTTTATAATTTTATAATGCAATTCACAATTTGTGAAATAGTTAAAAAAAATGTATAACTCTGCGAGCATAGCAATCGGCTTTGTAAAGCATGTTTTGTCAAAAGGGCCAATATAAAATTTCAACCCCGAGGTCCAATAGGTGCTTAATCCGGCTTCGCGCATATTATAACACGATCGGAGTGCAATTTAACCTAGACACCGGAGAACATTTCGGGGGCGTTTACAACCCCTTAATCCCCCTCTGCGTGCGCCACAGCTATGTATAGTAATGGGTATGAACCTACAAGTCTTTTTTAAAGAGAAATTTTAAGTTTTTCAATATCTTGGAAATATTTAAAGAAATCTGTAGATGACGAATATACCGAAGAACTGTACTTGTACTTAAACAGTAACACAGAAAATGAAAATGAGAAAAAAACATATCAAAACCATATAAAACATGTGAAAACGGTAGCATTTGTTATTACACTGCATTGGTAAAGTACAATCTTTATTCTAATGCTTATCCTACTTTATCCATTGCTTATCAGTACTTACTAACTTTACCGGTAACCCAACTGATCTATGAAAGGTCATTTTCTACTTAAAATATGTAAAAAACCGTGTTAGAAATTCAATGGCAAACGAACACTTGGAGTAATTCATGTTGATGACCATCGAAAAAAAAAATTCTCTGTAGTTTAGATAATAATATGATAATAAATAAATTTTGTAAAAAATCTAAAAATATTTCTACTCGTATATTACTCTTATAAGTTATATTTATTAAATTATACTATTTTATGACATTAGTATGTATATGTTTTTATATATAAAAATGTATTTGTGAATTTTATGAACTATTTGATAGATCAAAGTTTAATTTTTTTCAAATTTGTCTAAATGTTAATCCCTAAAGTAATCAGCTGATTCGGTAAAATTTATTTTCCAGACCCGAAATAAAGTCCCACTCCGCCCCTGTGGCTAACCGATTAGGGTAATGTGACATTATTATTTCAACAAAAGCGCATTACATATACGTTTCGTCATTAGTAAATGATATTGCCTGTTTAATACCTAAATTAAATTGTATATATTAATGAGATTTATATTTAATTTGTCATATAAGTAATATATAAATGTAACCTTCGTGACTCCATTGTACAATAATATTATTATTAGCTATAAATTATATACTTTAAGTGATAAGCGTGCAACCAATGAGAATGGAATAAGTATTTATATCAATATTTCTGTAAGCATCATTATCTTTATGCGAATAATGTGATTTAACTATCAATTCATTGTGCGCTTCATGTTTGTTTTTAATGTTATGTTTAAATTTTTTATTCTGCTTTTACCCTTTTGAACTCATCAGTTGCTTTGCCAATGATTAGTTCTGTGATGATACTGTTCTTGGCCTACTCCTCCTCTGACCAAAAGGACGAGTGAGCGAGGACATCGAACTGTGTGGGTCTGAGTAACACAGCTTTAGTAGTACTATAATAATTACGACTATTGTTGTTATTAAATTACAATTATGGTGTCGCATCCGATATTCGTCATGAACGCTGAAACATCGCGTTACTACATTGACAATTTATATACGCAGGATCACGCAAAGTGCTACCAGGCGCTTAACTTCATTAAAAACTCCATTATGGGTAGTAACCGTCAGAAAGGCATTGTCATCGCAAACGGCATAGTACCAAGGCTTTTACAGGTAATTCGTAGGTTTTTTTTCGTATACGTGAGATAGACCTCTGCTAATGTGGAACTGAATTGGAGGTTTGTCTGGCTGCACGTAATGCTTTTCGATTAAATTATAACTTGAACACTATTACCTTTTTATATTTTATTATCTTGCAGGTGTTATCTGATGAATCGAAAACTCCAGACATTCGTTTGGAAACTGTTGTGATATTAGGTTCATTGGCCAAAGGCACTGAAGAACAAGTAAAGGCCCTGGTAGATGCCAATGTTGTTTCGCACATACTCAAAGTTTTTTATGTATATAATGATGCAAAATTTTGTGAATCATGTCTCCGTTGTTTATGTACTATTCTGAAATATCCGTTTGCTGATTATTCTGTAGTGTTTAGTGATTTAGACATTGTAAAGAAACTGGTTCAAACCATTGAAGATTCTTGCAGTAATAGTATTTCTACCATGTCTATACTGTCTTATTCTTGTCGTACAACAGTCCATCAAGATATGTTATGGGGAGCAGGAATTGGTTTCATTTTATATAATTTACTTAAAAATAATGTGGATGATTTGTCTATTGCTACATTGAAATGTTTAGCTCGTGTATGCCAAGATAATCCAACTATTTCTACTGCTCTTGCAAATAATGTATATAATGGTGAAAAAATTCCAGAAATGTTAGATTCTATGCGAAGTGGAGATCGACCCACTAGTATGCGATTAGCTGCTTCTAAATGCATTACATGTCTTTATCGTGCTGGAGCATTAGAAGTCAATGATTCTAAAGTAATGTTTGGAGCATTACCTACTCTTGTACGCTTATGCCAGAATGATCAAAAATGGGAACATCGTGTTGAAGCAGCAGAAATTTTAGCCGTACTCATTGAGGATGATGCTGAACTTCAATCATTAGCGAGTATATCAAATCATTTGTTACAAACATTGGCAGAATTTGTCAACTATCCAGTACATCAATCAGGGGAATATGGAGGTGCCTTTGGAGAACATAGGGCTAAAGAAATGAAGCAAGCTGCTTTCAAAGTAATGATAAATCTTAACTCTTTTTTTAAAATTATACTATTGAAGATATTTAATTTTTTTCTAGGTTTTTGCATCTCTGGGAGCAAATGATGAAGAAATCCGTAAACGAATAATTGAAACTGATAACTTAATTGATCATATTGTATTAGGTCTTAAAGATCCTAGTCCTAAAGTCCAATTGGCTGCAGTTCGATGTTTACATTCATTGTCACGTTCTGTACAGCAATTGCGTACCACTTTTCAAGATCATTCAGTTTGGAAACCTTTAATGAGTCTATTAGAAGGTGCTTCAGATGAAATTCTTAGTGTCACTTCTTCTACGCTATGTAATCTTTTACTAGAATTCTCACCATCCAAAGAGCCAATTCTAGAATCAGGAGCTATTGAACTATTTTGCAGTTTAACAAAACGAGACGATCATTCATTAAGACTTAATGGAATTTGGGCCTTGATGAACATGGCATTTCAAGCAGAACAAAAAATAAAATCACAAATCTTGAGTACTTTGGGAACTAATCAAATCTTTACTTTGTTATCTGATTCACATAACAATATATTAATGAAGACATTAGGTCTATTAAGGAATTTGCTGTCAACGAAACCACACATTGATTACATAATGAGTCTGTGTGGCAGTGATATAATTCAGGCTGTCATGATGATACTTGAAGGCGATCACTCGCCTGAGGTCAAAGAACAGGCATTGTGTATTTTGGCCAACATTGCTGATGGAGATATTGCTAAAGACTATATTATGAGAAATAATGAAATACTAAAAAAAATACAAGAATACATGACAAATGTCAATGCTAAATTACAAGCAGCTGCTATATTTTGTGTTTCAAATCTTGTGTGGAAAGAAGATAGTGGCGCAGCTGATAGACAAGCCAAATTAAAGGAAATGGGTATTTTTAAACTTTTACAGCTATTAATATCAACATCAGATTCTCTGTTGTTTGATAAAGTAAAGACTGCCCTTACACAGTTTTCAGACTCTTGACAAACTAGTTGTTACAACTCACCACCTTCTGTTGGTGTTTAAGTAGGTACTTCTTTATATAAAAAGAAAAAAGTTTATAACTATAATTTTTGATCATTTTGTTTTAATTTCATAATTGATTATAATTAATGAAAGGCAATATTTTATTAAATATATTTAATAATTTACTTTTAAATTCTTTCAAAATGTACTGTATGACTTTTATTATTTTTATTGTTAATTATTATAATTTAGTTATACATATTTATTTTAATTTATCTAAAATTTGTACTTTTGCGCTTTTCATTTTATGACTCATGTACAACTTCAAAAGTTATTACTGAATAAATTAATACTTTGTTTACATCTGACATATTGTATTTAAAATAAAGTAAAAAAAAATTGGTTTTTATTGCTAATTATGTGCAATAATTAACGAGGGAAATAAGTAATTTATAATCATTTTTGTCTCCAATAGTGTAGTAAGAAAAATTATCTTAAACTATTGCCTAAGTAGATATTCTTAACTAAATTATTTTATCTTTATAAATAATTATGCATGACTTAGAGAATTCAATGACCAGGCCATGAGTAAGGCAATAAATAAATAATTTTCACTTATTAAAAAGTTTGGAATCACAATAAAACTGTAAAATCACAATAGCAAATGTTAAAATAACGACTGCATAATAACTAAAAGATATCTTAGCTATCCAAAATAGCTAAATACATTATTTTAAAATTATTATTGTTATTATTTATCTATAGTAATAATATTACTTATAAGTTATTAAAATACAGTTAATCACAATCAGTTTTATAGCTGGACTATTCAATGTTCTGGATGGACAAGATATAATAATTAAATAAAAATAAAAATATCTAGATTAGAAATGAACACAATATTCAACAACGATAGGATATGCAAACCCGTGGATTGTTTAGTGTCACAATGTATTAGTAAATAGTACCACAGTTGTACTCCTTTGTTTTATTGTTTCACAGTTGTCGTTTAAAAATATTGAATATTTAATTCTACAAAAAAATTAACCACTCATAAAATACAATGAGTTTTTGAATTGGAGGTATGGTGAAAACCGCTAAGTTTCATACTGGAGATGTGGGGAAGTTGAAAAATTTTTTAGTCATTACAAGCATAAATTATAAATATAATATAGTATGTTTTATCTTTGAATTTTTTTGAAAGAATTATTGTAAATTATTTAAAAGGCCTATATTTTATTACTACAAGTATAAATTATAAATCTAATATGATCTTTTAATTTTTAAGCTATTTTAACATTCGTGGTTATGATAAAGACTCAAAAGTTTTTAATTATTAATATTTTTCAGTAACGTATTAGAAACAGTGCTCGACTTGGCAAAATTAAAAAAGGGGACTCTATTTACTTTAAAAAAAAGAATGTCCCCAAAACTGGCTAAGCGTTATGATTATAGCGTAATAATAGTAGGGGGACGCTAAAATTTCTGAAAATTGGTTGAAGTACTCCGTCCCCCCTCAAGTTGAGCACTGATTAGAAATAAATATATTAATATATGTAATATTTTTTTGTAAGAAGTCAACTTTTAGAATCTTTAAGTTAATCAAAATGTATCATTAAGATTTTATTGCACTACAATATCATAAAATGTATGTAGCATTAATTACAAAAATTGAGCAATAAAATAACATAATAATAATATCCATAATTTATTTCAACAAACAATATAATTATTTGGAAGAGTTACTTTACTTGCACATCATTGTCTAATTCAATTCCTTATGAAGCATGTATGGTAATGATTAATAAATTCCATACAATGGCAATATTATATCATGATCGTCGTCAATAACAATATGAAAATTACAAAATGAGAATTGTGTTCTACCAATATTGGATTGGAGTCCACATAATATAATGAAAATAATTAATAATTAACATAAATTATATTAATTTTATATTTTTAATAAGTAAAAAAAATTATATATATGTATAAATAAATAATAATAATATTGAATGTTTTTTTTTTTTTTTAATTTAATTTGAATTGTTGTAACCCAGTCATAGATGAAAGGCTACATCATAGTTCCAAAAACAGGATTATGTCTACATATACTTGGGCCATATTCTTCATAATCTTTTTTTGAATGGCACACGGTATAAAACTCAGGCTATAAAATAAATAATGTTGATAATATATTTGTGAAAATTTAATGAAATATCAAAAAATCTACGTACCGATGAAGCTAACATACTACCACCAAACCAAACAGCATATCTCTGCATATTATGAGTGTAAACTTGAACATCAATAGGTTTAGGCTAAAAAAAATATACACAAAAGTTATAGTAATAGATTATTATATGAATCATAAGTGAATTTTACTTTCAAATTATCGCCAGCTATTTTTTCACTACGTTTTAATCTAGCATCAACAACACGTTTGATATCCCTTTGAAGACGTCTACCAAAATCTTTAAACATAGTTGAACCACCAGAAAGTACAATGTTATCATACAGTGGTCGGCGCACATCAATTGGACAGTTTTGTATCACTGTATCAACCATTTCAGAAATAGGTGTAGTGAAATCAGGATTTGAAAACTACAAAATAACATAATTAAGTAATTAATTTTATATTTAACATATAATAAGAGCACACATACTTCAGGATGGAAGAAAATTTCAGGTCCTAAAAATCGTTCGTATCCAACATCCACAGAAAATGGCTGTTTTGTAACACTATTTATACCATCATACTTCCTTAACCATTTAGATGGCTCTGAATCATATTTGGCAAATTCTTTAGCAATGTCTGGACAAATGTAGGAATAACGCTCTTTAATAGCTTTAGCAGTCTCCAAGCTTTGTTCAGGAGGAATACCAATTTCTCTTTCCCTCAACAACGACTGAATAAAATATGTGATATTGCGACCAGCTATTGGTATGTGTTTAATGCAACTTCCAATCACATAACCTTCAGCCTAAAACATTGGTTTTCATATTCAAATTAACTATTTACATGACATAATAAATAAAAAATTCTAAATATATGTATTCATAATTTAAGTATAATAATGTATGCATACACAAAAAAATTGCACAAATCTATAGAACCAATACCTAATATTAAAAATAAAAATAAAAATACAGTAAAACCTCATAAATCCGGACCTCATTAGTTTGAACTTCGCTTAATCTGGACAACCGTTTGTAATACGTAATGATGTATGTGATCGCTAATTTATGACGTAGATTAAAATAAATATGAAAACGAGTTTTACAAATTTGTATGTAATGATTATAATACAATTATATATTATTTTTTAGATTTAATATTGTTAGATATATGTATATGATATAGACTAAAGTATTTTAAGTATAGTAAAATAAACAATAAATTTTTTTTAAAAATATAATTTACGATTCTTGATTATTTTGTTTAATCTAGACAACCTAGAGCCCCAATTATTCTAGATTAATAAGGTTGTACTGCATTTTCAAATATGAAAATTTGGTTTTTAATGGAATTTGGAACTCTATTTTTCACATTTCTTTGTACATACATATAAATTTAAATATTAATTTAGTTTCTTTATATTTTTTGGATAAAATATTTCATTAAGGTATATTTTATATACTCATAAATAATCCAATATATAAATAATAACACACAGGATATTAAAAATTTGCTATTAAAATTAACTTGTAAAATAAAGAAATAATAATTAATAAGATAACTAGTAATTAACTAATTATTTTTATTTGTTTAAATTTTTTAAGTAGTTTACATTTCAAAACAAAATAAAACATGAATTATAATTTTTACCAATGTATTCTATACATTTAATTTCAATTTTATTACATTTCTGTTTATAGTATAAAATAACATTTGAATGTATTTGAATTAATCAATTATAATTTAAAATATATATCAAAGGTATATATTTTTCATTATGTTATAATGTTAAAAATGTAATATTAAGTATGATTAAATATTTTAAATAAATGTTTAATCTATTGCAATTACAACTTATTTTATACAAAGAAAATGTAATTCACATAAAAACTGATCAAATGTACCACTCATCAATAATTGTAAATAATAAAGATATATTTACTTTCTATCATTATTTATTAACAATTTCATAACTTCTACTAAAATAACTAATGGAAATAAAATATTAATAATTTAATTATAAACTCTGCAATTTCAAAATATAACTGAAAAAATAGTGTACTTACTACAGGAATAATATGGGTAACTCCATCTCCACTATCAACTACTAGGCCTGTTAATATTCGTTCATGAACAGGTCGTGATTTCCAAGAGGCAGATAATGCTAATACAGCTTGTACCGCAATGTAAAGACCAGGAACATTAAATGTCTCAAACATTATTTCTAATACAAAAATTAAACTAAATTAATCGTTTACCTCATTACTAGGGCAGAGGACTAGTAGTTCTAAAAAAACATTAAATATGCACTAAAAATACACTCTTATATTTTTTTTAAAGCAATTAATTTATAAAATATATAAATTATTTAAATATTGTGTGAAATTAAATCGTTTTTCACATCCTACTTTAACATCACAATACATCTGAGAACAGTCAACAACCATATTATATGATCAAAATTTTAAATTATACTTGATTCGACAGTATTTTGGTTGTATATTAGATCAAATTAGAACATTGTCAGAAAAGTAATGATGAAATTATACATTATTTGAAATATACATCTAAAAGTATAAAATGGAATATGCTCTTAAAAACAAAAAAGCTCAAAATATACATTTATATGCATAATAAAATTTCAAGACTAGCTTTGTGAAAGCATGAAACATATTTGTATCCATATTCTGCTATTTTTGTGATTGTGCAAAACAAATATACAAATGCTATAAATCCTTTGCTCTAATCATTACTAATCATATTATATAAAAAAAAAAAACATTGAAAACCCATTGTTAGAATATACTATTTTTAAATAAATTAAAAAATGCTTAACATCTTAAATTCTTGAAATACCATTTTTAATAACATTTTAGAACCTAAGACAGTATTGAAAAAAAAAATAAAAATAGAATACCTATTTAAAAACAATATTTATAATATAATAATTCTTATTAATAACAATGATTGACTTACCAGCAGTATATTCACGATTCTCTGGAGTATTTAAAGGTGGTTCAGTAAGTAAAAAATGATGGTCTTCAGGCTCAGCTCTTAAATATTTAAATATGCAATGTTCTAAAAACCTTTCCATCAAATCCCAATCTTCAACTAATCCATGCCTTACTGGATACTACATAATTTTATTTAACCAATTTAATTTAAATGTTTTCAATCGAAAAATAACATGACAGTACTTTAACAGAATATCCTTTGGCATCGAACGCTTCATCTCCTATGTAGAAATCTAAATCCTCCACGCCCTTTGTCAGTCGACGAACCGTCTGATCGCCCACCTTGGCAGTTTCCTTGATGGCAATCGCTGACGGGATTATCATCTGTGGTTCTTTGTTGGGAGCGAAGCCCAACTTCGTGTACCTGCATCATAACAAAAATGTTCGTTCGTTAAGCTATGAATAACTTATACCACATTGTAGATGGTCGCATCAAAAGGACTGATCACGCTCACCCAGTGCCCACGTCGATAACACATGGTGGTAGTCTACCAAGCATACTGTTCGCAGTCGAATTAAATTTACTCAGTCTAATAAGAGTACACTAAAATATCAAATTAATCATTAAACTAAAACGTAATGAAAAAAAAACCTACAGATATCGGAAAATTCTGTTTAATTTTATTCATTATTTGTCATAGATTATCAAGCCGAACGTGAGTCATATTTTGCTGATAACCGTACAGAATCGAATACTTTTCCCGTGGAAGAGAAATCGGCTATTATCGGACCGAATGTACTATCAACGAATTGATATCTCAGTTTTATCATGAAACCACAGTTATTTAATAACTTTTGTGGAAATTTTGATCCGTTTACCCTTTTAGACTTGATAGTCCTTGAAGCTGTAAACTGTAAATGTATTTCGGCAAAAATCGAATACCCATTAACGATTGTTTCTCAGTGTAATCAATTACTAAGTACGATTGTCGAACGATCGAAAATCATATGCCCAACACTTTGTCATCATCGTGTTTAAAAATGGACGAACCTTCGACCAGTTCCGATCCTTGCAAGAAATTATCGTATTCAATACATTCCTATTCGAGTTATCTGCCGACTTATATACCAGAGTAAGGATTGCGACATACCTGTTACCTATTAATAATAAAAAACAATCAATCTTATGTCAATGCTGTTTAATGGTACTATTTTTACAGTATTTAAATTTCATTTCATTAAAATGTATTTAAGTGCATGTATTAGATTATTGTAATTTTAAATTTTTATACAATTAAGAAAACGTATTATGTGAAATATATCGTGTACTATTTGAGGAAACCAAATCTACAAAATAAGCAAATATTTTTTTAAGGTATTAAATTTAATTTTTTAATTTTAAAAGTGTGTCTTAATCGTTCACATTAATCTTATATTTCATCACTAGTACAAATTGCCGTGTGTATAAATGTTAATGGTAATTGTTTATCTAATGAATGTGTAAGTGTCAAATAATACCTAAATAGGTTGGTTTATTATAAACTTAATAAAGTGTATTTAGTTTTGAATTTTATAGGTGTTTGTTAATCATTAATTTCTAATGTATAAAAATAATGTACATATCTATATTTTATTCTTAATCACTTTAAGCAGTGTACCATTTGTTAATCAAACAATCATTAATATGATTCATATTTAAATCAATTTTTATTAATTAAATTACCAAAGTATTTTGGTTATGTTTTGTTTATTAAAATGGTATACATTAATTTACATAGGTACATTAAAAATGATTTTTTAGTATTTAGATTGATAACTAAACATACTATTATTTGTTTACATATTATGTTTGATTAAACTTGCTGAAGAAGCATTAATACAAATCAAAATTTAAAATTTAACTGTTAAATATTTACAGAAATATTTTACAAAATAATCAGGAAGATCAAAGTTCCAGATGGTCTTCGATATCCAATAGTCCACCACAAGTATTTTTCTTTAATATAAATGTATATAGATCTATTCAAATATATTTTTACATTATATATTTATTATATTTTAGTATTTAATCTTAAAGCTACAAAATGCTTCAATTGTTAAGACTATAAAATTTGGTAAGTATGAACGACCACATGTATGCAATTTAAAAAGGTTCAAAATTTATGGTGGATTAGAAGATGACACAAAAATTGAATTACTCTATAGGTAAATTAATAATAAAGTGTTCTTTAATATCATAATACTTAAATATTCATTTTCTTTTCTTTTAGTGGTCTCAGTAATAATAGTGACTTAGAAACATTTAATCTACGTCATACTATTGAGAATAATTCCATGATACCTGTTAGGTACATCAAGTTAGAACCTCTTGAATCTTGGGGTTCAAACTTCAATTATAGCCTTTGGTATGTTGAACTACATGGCATTGATGACCCTCACCTTATATCCTGTGAAATAACTAAATTCTATCGAGTATGAATTATAATTTATTAATAATATTATTATTTTATTGTATAATTTGATATTGTGTATTGTATTAGCATCGTGAAGAAACATTAATTCGATTATGTCTTAAACATTTTCGTCGAAATCATTATGATGTAGCTGCTAATGCTCTATTACAAAACTCTAATATAGTTTTAGAACATCCATTTTTATCACAAATATATGATACAATAGTTGTGAATGGAAATTATGAAATGGCTGAGATGTTAATGGATCAAGCAATTAACGGTATAAAGTTTTTGAAAGTGGAAAACAAAATTTTTTTCAACTATAATAAACAATTTTTTTTTTTTTTAGATGGCTATTTAGAAGGTTATATGAAGAGTCAAAGTTTTAAGCCAATTTGGAATTTGGTCAAAGAATATCATAATGCTGGAAATAAAAGACCATGTATGCGTGGAGGTCATCAAATGTGTATAGATTCAGCAGCTGGAAATGTGTACTTGCTTGGCGGATGGGATGGGCATAAGGATTTATCTGATTTATGGAGTTTTAATATTGCAACTGGTATATGGCATTGTATTGCAACCAATGTAGAAAAAGATGTAATTTGCATTAAAGAATATTTATTATTTTTTACAAAATGTTAAGTTATTGTTCTGATACATTTATAATTTATAGGGTGGACCAAGTCCTCGATCATGTCACAAGGTATGTATAGACACGGAAAGAAAACAAATTTTCGTTTTAGGAAGATTTTGTGAAGTTCAATCATTTATTGGTGAATACCCTCAGGTATAATTCTCACATTATTGTAAATTTATTTATCTTATTTTATATTTTATTTTAAATTACCTTTAAACATCGAAACATTTATTTATTATATTTATATATATATATATATATATATATAAATATTATATGTTATTAAATGTTATAGTAAAACCTTTTGAACATTTATTTATTATTTTTCTTCTTTTTTATTAATTTTATTTTAAATTATCTTTTTATTTTTTACAGAGTGATTTTTATGTTTATGACATTGAACAAAATCACTGGACTCTTATATGTGCTGATACAAATTTAATGGGTGGACCCAAATTATTGTTTGATCACCAAATGGTAATGGATTCAATTTCATCCACTATTTATGTGTTTGGGGGTAGAGTTGTAGTATCTTCCTCCAGGTTTGAATTTATTTTAATAATTATTTACTTATAAGATACCTAAAGTAAAAAAAAAAAAACAATTACATTTTTTTAGATGTGGATCTGATGAAACTCAAAAGAACAATCCAGACTTTTCTGGTTTTTATAAATATCATGTACCAACTAATACATGGACATGTATTTTACCTGACACCTTCCATGAAATCAAAGTCCAAGATGGTCTATTAACACATAACCCACAAACTGTAGCTTCACGTGGTGGACATTCTATATTATTACATACAGTATGTTCTATTTTTATAAATTATAAGCCTAAGAAAAATATGTATTTACTAACATTTTTTGTTCATCAGAAAATGAGACGTATATATATATTTGGTGGTCATCGTCAGAGATGGGCCCAAAAATGTCCAGAATTTTTATGGTATGACATTGAAACTGGTTTAACTCAAGCAATGCCAATGCCATCAACTGTTGATAAGCCACCAATGGGATACACACAGCGAGCCACTATTGATATTGATCATGATGAAATATATGTATTATCTGTAAGTACCTAAATTAATTAAAAATTGCTTTTAAAAATGTTTATTAAAAAGTATGATTTTTGTTATATTAAAATAAAGAGTCTTAGTAAAGAAAAAGATCGTAGAGAGGATAAAGTTCAAAATGCATTTTGGGTGTATTTTATCAAACAAAATAAATGGTAAGAATTTTATGTATTTATATATTGTTCTGAATGCTTAACTATCCATATTAAATTGATTATATGTGTTGCTGTTAATATAATAATATAAATTAAATAATATTTTTTTTCAGGATTTGTATCTATAAAAATTACAATTCTGATGAACAATATTGGAATAAAATGCAACATTTGGAGCCATGTCCCCGATTTGCCTATCAATTAGTATATGATCAAAAAAATAAGGTAAATAATGTCTTAATATGTATATTCACAAGTTTTTTTTTTTAATTCATTATGTTAATTATGTTTTAATGTACTTCTTAGATTCACTATTTATTTGGTGGTAATCCTGGAAAAACTGATGCTCAAAATTTAAGATTGGATGATTTTTGGGAACTTAAAGTTTATAGATGTACTAATGTAAAACTTAGGAATCAGTGCAAGCTGTTAATTCGAAAATTTAAGTATGTGTTAAATTCATCTTTATGTGTGATTATAATTCACCAATGTGTCACTGAAATTATTGTTGTACAATAGGTTTCAAGAAATAAAAAAAAAAGATAAAATAGCTGCTATGCAGTTCTTACAAACATCTGTATCAGAACTTATTGATCATTCTGATGAGGAGCAAACTCGAGAGGTAAGTTCTAAAAAAAAATATGTCTGGTGATGTGTAGGCATTCTTAAAATATGAAAGCGTTGATATTACATTCTAAAAACAACTTAGTATTTTGATGATTTTTACCTTACAAAAATCAAAATATTTAGAATATAAATAATATATTAGAAATTAAAATGTATTATTCTTGTATTAAAATTAAGTGTTTTACCACAAATGTGTACCAACTCGTTTGTTTATATTTATTCAGTATTTTTGTAAATGTTTTTTATTGACTAACCATATATCATGGTACATATACCAAAACTTATATATAATCATTTTTAATTAGAGTTACTTTATAAAACTTATTTCATAAAAATAAACAAAACATTAAAAAATATTATTCTAATGATTCAGCATCACCCATGATTCAAAAGTAATCTAAATAATTTAAAAAATATTTGTAATTTGTCTTAAACACTTTACATTTATTTTATTTGCTTGATTTATAATTTAAATAAGTAATTTAAAGTAATATTCTCTCACCTTATTCCTAGTAATACTAAAATATGTATTATTTGAAACTCGTTAAATACTCAGAGTTTAGTTTCAGGGAACTGCAGCTTTGCTGTTTAAAGATGACAACCAAACTGGTGATGTAGCAGAACAAATACATGAGTGGCGTTGTACTTTATTTGATAAATTATGTGATTTTTTTCCTAATTCAATGGTTCAACCCAAAGAAAATTTAGTTGACTTGATACCCCTGTAACTAAGTGTTCAAAATGTTTTCTTAAACTTGTTTTAGTTTATTATTTAGTTCCTTTACTCTCACATTATTTTTAAAAATATTCTATCAAATGATAATTTGACTTATTTCCATTATTTTTATTATTTTGATAATAAATTTAAAAATTAACATTTTACCTACACAGTTATCAAATTTGAAGTAAAAAAATTCTTATTGCCAAAATAGTTATTAATTTTTTGACCATTAAAATATTATTCATGTATAATAATATGAACTATTAATTACAAATTCTTGATAATTAATTTTTAATTCATCTAACTTTTTTGGGTATTTGTGTTGCCTATTTATACAATATCCCACAATGATTATCAAGTAGCATTTAGAATTATTATTAAAATATCCAATTGATAATGTACCTTTAATTACATTAAATCTTAATTTCGTAACTATTCCATTAGGTACGCCTATAGTTTAAATAATCAATCTTGTTTTACTTTTTAGTGGACAGTTAATTATTTTGAAATTCAGACTTTTTTTTTTAATTTTTATTGGAATTATTTTTAAAACAGTATAAATTAATACTTATTTAATATTTTATGATACTATATAAAATTAAATGTTTTAATTTTTTTTCTTGTTTTACCATTTTATGCGCTTATTTTTTTTTTTCAATACATTTTATACAAATGTATACTCAAATTTGTACTTAGTTAATTGTCAACACCTATTTTGTTTGTTTATATGATCTCTTTAACATTAATCCTTAACATTTTAAAATTCAAATATATTTATTATTTTATTATACTTTATTGTGTTAATTAATTAGAAATTTTATAAAATAAATAAATTTGATTTTTACTTTTAAACTGAATTATCTATTTTATTTTAACTTTATGAAAAATAGTAGAACTTTAATTTATATCCTTCAGAATCATAAAATGCATCATTATGCATGAAACTTTACAAGGAATATATTTAACACTAACATTTAATCAAAATTTTCTGATCATAAATTGTCATGAATACTGCGAAGAAATCCAACTTTCAAAAATAACACAGGTACACTGGTTAATTTTAAATGTTTTAATTATCACATGTTATTAACAGTAAGGTTATTGTGTTGAACATATTACAGTTTATTGAATTGATCCAAACTTATTTCAATCCGTGTACATCTTACATATTATTCATATGATAAATCAGCGTTAAAGTATGATGAAATTATTATGTCATTATAATGTGTAGGATACTAGTATACCTACATATTATGTAAGACTCAGTACCATTTAGTTATTATCATTTCTATGTTATAAAAAAAGTGAAAATATTTTTCCAAACATAATTGCTCCGCCAGATTTTTCTTACCAGTAGATACATCATCACCGGGTACCATAGGCACGTGCACGGGTGCACCACATGCAACCTGAAATGCATCTGCTCTTTCTGAGACGCCATATTATTTTAAGCACGTATATATACAGTTTTGAGTTCATTGACAGACAATTGCTTAGTTTTTCTGGATGTCCGCGATACGATTACAAGGTTTAATGCGATTAATGCGATTATACATTTAACATTTTTGGTGCCGACGAATACACAATATATCTATTGACGGAATATTTGCTGAAGGTGTTCCTCAATGTTGCACCTGATTGGAAATTCTGTGCACGCCTATGCCGGGTGCATTGAAATCGAAAATCACAGATCGTGAACCTGGCACAGTATGTTAGACGGGATCCGAACGAAATCGGTTGCGCGCAATCACGCCGCGGCACCAACCCGCCGTACGGTGGCATGACGGCGCTCGCAGAATAACGACCGTTATAGATACAATACGTGTACGATATTATTAGTATTCACATTGAGTCGTGTTAATACGAATAATTACTCGAACGTGTTTTCAATACCCTATTTTATTAGTGACTACGAAAATCGTAATGCTCGTGTAATGTAATAATTGTGTGTTTGCACCAACCGGTAGACTGCCCCCCCCCCCCCCGATTATAATACGATGCTTACGATTATTATTTAGCCATATAGAGTACACAAATGCTTAATATGTAACAAATCACATTTAACATTCCGTTTGAGACGTGAACGAAGGGTCTAGGACATTTTGCCGCCAAACGGATCCCGTATATTATTAGCAATTACACACAATGACGGACTGGCCAGGGAGACAGAGGGGTAATCGCCTCCTTGATTATGTTACATAAATAAAAATTATATGTACTCGTCTCGTATACAAAACGTAATGTACCTATATCTTCTGTTTTTATTTCTATACTAGCTGAACCCGTGCACTTCGTAGCCCATTAAAAAACTGTGTTAAATTCGTTACCTGAGATTATAATAGCAGTATATTATTATACATATAGATAGGTAACGGTTAAAATATACTATATAACTAATTGTTTTTATTATTGAAACCAACAGTAACAATCTATAAACAAAAATTTCCATCGTAAATCTCAAAATGTCTGAGTACCTCCAGGGGTTGGGCCTGTCACTTTTTAACTTAGCCCATCTTCTGCCCATAGGTCTACTATATCTCTGTACCAAATTTCGTCGCAATCGGTCCAGCTGATTAGGAATACATAAAGGACAAACAAATAGACAGAAATCCATTTATATATATATAGGGTGTTTAAGAAAGAACGCAGGATTTAAACCTGCTATAAATTAAACTTATTTCTTTTAAAAAACCATAATAAATATATCATTCACTTCGGAAGAAGTTAAGGTTTAACATTGAAAAACAATATCGGACATATAACCCTCCCTACTAGCCCTACAGGCGATTATTCTTTCAATGAAATTTCCATCACTGGATAACACAATGCTTCATAAAGTTCATTAAGGACATGACGAATTTCTTGCATAAGTTCCAAAACATTTCGAACTTTATACTGATAAACTCATGATTTAGCGTATTCCTATAAGAAAAAATCACACGGCGTTAAGTCACAAGATCGAGGTGGGTAGCTTTGGTCTCCATGCAACAAGATTAGTCTGTCCAGGAACTTCTCACGCAGCAGATTGTTTCTCTTGAAGTGTAACAAGTTGAAACCAAATATTTTTGATGTTCATTTGGTTCAAATAAGGCCAAAGAAAATTACTGAGGTTAGTAGGTATTCTTGTATGATTACAAAAAGACGGCGTAACTTGTTACACTTAAAGAGAAACAATCTCTTTGCTGCATGAGAAGTTCCTGGACAGACTAATCTTGTTGCATGGAGACCAAAGCTACCCACCTCGATCTTGTGACTTAACGCCGTGTGATTTTTTTCTGCTGCCTCCCCCGTGCGCATGCTTATGATAATAATTTTTTTTCGATGGTATAAAACGAAATATTTTCATGGCATAAACAAGCAGAGAAAAAAGTTACCCAATGACGAAAGACAATCGTTCATTTTTATAAGCCTGGGGGATCGAGTTTTCAACCATAGAATCTTCTAGAATTCTAAATTATCTCATACAGGTTATGACGGCGATAATGGCCCAGATTCCGTGAGTCAGGATAAGGATTTAATCAATTTAAAAAAACATTTACACAAATAATTTAAAAAAATAATAAAATAAACATTTTAAAACGTCGAAATAAATATCGATGGTTTTTGACCACATCTAGTGGTACCGGGGATTATTTACCATATTTGTGTAAGCACGGTGAGTTCTTATACAGAGAATACTATAGTTAAAATATTTTTGCTTAGAATATGCATGACAAAATACTTTTTGCTTAGTATCCTTCGTTTATTTTCCGTACTAAATTCAAAATACGTATTGTAGTCACTAATGATTGCCGGTCCGGTTCGCGGGTTCTGTTCGGTTGCACAGATCCTTCTACGAGTGCTTCTCTGCAGCAGCGCCGGAACTCGACGATGCAACGAACAATGCAGTGGTGAAATAAAGTACACCTAAAATTATACAACCATTCGCCACGTGCCTCTCGTACCAAGGTCCGAATTCAGCTTTGGATTTGAGCTTGTTACTACGGTGCACTGGTTTCTTAGGCGTCGGATACGCGATCGTGTTTTGGACTATACGACGAGACATGTTGGCATTGATGTACCTCGTCATTGTCGGATTGCACACCGTACTTAGCATAAATATACACACACGCTGTAGTGGTGACGAAGTTGGAAATGTTGAATTTAGAGTTTGACATTAGTATAGAGACTATACGTCTCATTTAAAGTTGATGTCAGTGGTTTTCTCGTTTTTATTTTAAACGGTTTAAATTAATGATGGGAATTATTCGAATATTTGAATATTCAAATAATTCCTATCACTAGTTTAAATGAATCAGGTCGAAAATAACATAACAGACAATTGAGAGACAACGTCCGTTGATATGAAAATGTATTATTAAATGCATATATATTTAAATAAACTCGAATTTATAAAATAATCACGAGTTCTACCGACTGGTGTTTCACTAACTTCACTTACCCATCTACTATCAATACACTTTAAATTAAAATTATAGAAGCTTATAGTTAATCGTGTTTCGTATTTTAAATACGCATGGACTTTTTTTCCAATGAAAATATGTGAATTATGATTGTATAATGCTCAACCTGGGGTCACCAATAATAATTATTAATTATTAATTAATTAAATAATGACGCTATTCATTAACACATAAGTATTAATTTGAAAAGATTTTAAAACATTTATAAATTGATGTATATTTGGATGGCTTGAGTAAAAAGATGAATTGAATGTGGAAGAAATGCTTCACATGCGTTTGTTGTTCGTTATACACTAAATGAACATTATACCCACATAGTTGGAGGAAATTGAGAATTTTCAGATATATAATTGTCTATTTGTAGTCAGTAAATTCTAAATATTTTTCTGGAACGATTGGAAGTATTTCATAGACAAATAGGTCACTTAACATTTCTGGAGGTAAAAATGGTAAACCAAAACAAATAATAAGAAATAAACCTATTTCTGAATTATTTTTATATTCATATTCCAATGTTTTGTATTTTTTTTTTTTTTTTTTTGTACTTCATTTTCAAGCATTTTATAGTCGTCTATTATATATAATTCTTTTTTTTGCGCACAATTTGAAGCTAA